GACATGGTGGTGGGGGGTGGGATGGAAGCAAAAGGTGTTTTTCTTTTTTCTTTCTTTCTTTTTTTTTTTTTTTAATAAACAAAAGGCAGGGCTTAGTGAATCTTTTCTAGCTTCTGGGCTCAGGGTTGTTAACTATCCCAGTGGATGCCTTTCTCTGCCCAGAAATTCTTCCCAGTAGTTACTCTGTACACACTTGGTACTCTCTATCACTGTCTGTAATAAGCTTTTGCTGCGATTCACGTCGTGCATGCTGGGCATACATAGCAAACGACAGATGTCCCCGAAACGTCGTCATCACAGCGGCTGCACGATACTCGAACCAAAGTATGAACATCCATACTCTGTCCATAACAGTGTTTGATCTGTCTGCATTTTTGGTTGGATAACCTCGGACCGGAAGTTATGCTGCCAAGAATGGGGATGTCGCCCGGCCGCATCGGGCTACTCCTCGCTGGCTCAAAAAAAAAAAGGAGGAGTGCAGAATTTACAAGCTACAAGCAAAAGAGTCATGCGCCTAAGCGCGTCCAACCGCGGCTCCGGTATTGAGAGGTGCATGAATGAAAATGACCAAATCCCAAAACCCACTCTTACAAACACACCTTTGTTTGTTGTCCTTTGCATGTCCCGTGTTTGTCGACAGTTGGTTCCGAGTGAGGGAAAAAAAAAAAAAAAAAAGAAAGGGGCGAGGAGGTGGCCCAGAAATCCGCAAATCCCGGGGAAGGCTTCCGGACATCCCCCTTTTCTCCGCGGGTTTCATCAAGATGCTCATCGCTCCGTCCTGAGGGTCTTGTTTGGATGCAGTATTCCGTGCCGCAAGCACAATTAGCAAATGTCTTGAGTGCTCCATTGATTTGAATACTCCGCGCGGAGTATATTACCTCTAGATATTAAGTCTTGCAAACTTAGTTGGGTGCATAATGACTTCGTCGGAGGGGCCATGGGTTGTTCACTAGCGGACTTCTATGCTTAAGTTGGGGCCAGGGTTGATCCCGCGGATCCCCCATGGCTTTCCCCCACAGCTATCCACTAGTCGAGTTTACCCTTTTTTTTCTTTTTTTCTCTGTCTCTCTCTTCTCCTTCCGGGAGGAGGTGGAAACGGGCATGTCATATCCTCGCGAGATGGAAAAAATAAAAGTGGCTCCCTTTGCGCACAACTACGAGAGGTTCAGGCGGCTTTAGTATTAGCAACAGAGGCTACACGGTGTATGGATGAATGCGCGATTGGATTTTGCATGACAGGGGATCCAATAAATTTAATTGAAACAGTGGGCGCATGAAGAGCCAGTTATTGCAAAGTCTCGCAGCAAATCGGAGAGAAAGGCATTTTGTCTTTCTTGAGACGTTTCGATCCCGGTAGGCTAGTTTCTTACAGGTCTAGGATTATAGTCACTCTAAGTCCTGTCTTGGAGGAGGCAAAATACGGAGAGACTCTTCGAGAACGCCTGAAGAGCAAAGCCCGACGATGTTCTGAGACTTTCTATCATGTACCTGTACTCACTTAGGGAGGAAGTAGTCGGTACGACCAGGACATCCTGTTACATGGCTCGGCGCTTAAGACGGAGGAGAACCCCTCCCTCCCCAGGATAAAGCTTCGAGAAAGATTTTTTTTCTTGACCATACGATAGGAAATGGGTGCTATCGAAGCGATTGGTTTACAACGACCCATCATGTGAGCAAGGAGAAACGAGGTGAGTCTTGAGAAACAGGCTTACCCGATCGGCCTACTGCGGTTGTCGCGGAGCGAAGAATCCAGATAAGCACCACGGGCAGCAAATGGAAAGGCTCGAAAATGGAGGCTTTCGCGGAATTCCCCCTCCCCTCTGCCCCGGAGCGGGTGGACCTAACTCGAGGACGGAGCAAATCATCTTTTGAAGAGTTGAGGGCAGGCAACCTACATATGTAATCGTTATTTATGTCATTGTTCACATGGCACGCGGCGCAGGGCCTGAGGGAGCGGCAAGGACGCTGGAACCTGAGCACAGGATTGTGAGTGCGGGAGCGGAGATTGAAGAAGCGGTATGATATCAAGCCGCATGAGCCAGAACCTTGGCGGCCAAGAGGGCCAAATCGCTGTTGAAAAAGGAGGCTGAGCTGGAGAGAACGCCAGATGGTAGGATCCTTGCCTTTCTCGACCCAGAAGAGCAAGGAGAGCGGCGTCGAAAATCGGCGTCAATCAGTGCCCCTTTTCTCCCCGTTTCCTTTTGGTAGCGAGACTGCGGTTCCTTGCTCACCTTCGGGCGAATAAATAAAAACGATGGGAGGAGCATGGCTGTTTCAACGACGGCAGCTCGCGTTCCTAATCATGGTGATGGCCGGCCCGGTCCCGCTGGCGTAGCTCGCTAGCTTAGCTTCGTCCAGTCTCTCAGCGTGCGTTTAGTGAGGTACCCTCAATGGAGCTGGAACACGAGTCGATTCGAGCTGTCCCGACGGCTGTAACCGTATCGAGATGGAGAGGAGAAACAACGCTGTATGCCAGTACCTCTGTACGTACAGTACAAACGAACGAAGTATGTATACACCTATACGTACTCCGTACAGCAGAATGGGACCTCGTACAGAAGGGCTTGATATTATGCGATACCCACCACTAATCCGACGCGGCGCGGTGGATTCTCGACGACGGCGAATTTCTAGTGGGTAAGGCTCAGCAGGGAGTTTCAGGCGTAGGCCAATCGCAGCGAGGAAGAGCTTTGAGTTTTCTGTAACTTTAACGGATGGAAAACGGCACGCAACCTCCGGAGATGCAACAGTGCATGGAGCGACGGCCATTCAAACGTTGGGCATGTGTGCTGTGAGGAGCTTCTTGATACGGCTGCCGACGACGATCTTGGACCAAGATCTACAGGCAATCTTGACGAATGTCAGCGTTCCGAACGGGAGTATTTTTGAATTCGCGCTCTGGAGGCCCGTCTGCGCCTGGAGTCCGCACGCCATACATACCTCCCCATCAGCATATGGAGTTGTCGACAGTAATTACTTAATGGCGGCGGCGATGGCGATGGTTAGTTACGACAGGCCGGAGATGGGATTAGTCATTCCCGCAGCGGAAAGCGAATAATAGAACGTTGCGCTTCATCCGCCTTCGCCTCGCCGTTGAGCCGTCATTTTTCTTCCGCTCACCACCCTCCACCCCCTTGAGCAGGAAGACGTCAGTTCAGTCAAGCCACAAAACAGGAGCTAGCTAGTTGGTGAATGGGTTCATCGATCTCCCACGCTTGCTGAGATTACCGTTTTGCTCAAGTGATCGCGTTTTCACTCTGGACAATCACTTGTGGTCCATCTCCCGAGATCGACCATCCAATGCCTTGCTCAGGTTTCGTCAAACGGCCCTTAGCTGTCTTTTTCGCCCACTTCGCCCTCCACCCCGCTTATAGTAATCTCCACTGCGACCAAATGTTCAAAGATCCCCACGTGAGAACCTCTCGGGAGCAAAAACTTAACTCGACCTAAAATGATGATTCCTCCGTCATGCCTGACATATGTATGCCCTATGCCAAAGGCCGTGCTGAACCCCACAGTGATGCGTGCCTTATTTTTAACTTTTCTTGTTTCCTTCCTACTACTTGGTACAAGGCTCATCCTCTGACAGATCTTGGTCACAGCAACAACGCTGGGGATCCTGGCGACTATGGGTGACTGGAACAATTCTCGCATTGCTCGATAATAGCAGCATTATACTCCATGACGGGAGCGTCGCGGGGGTGCCATGATGGATTCCCCCCAACAGATTCTGTGTGGCATGTTGAAGGCGAGATGCCATGCGTCTCCTTCATTCATTTCCCAGATTCGGGTCGGCCAGCAGGCCGCCAGTAACTGTGTGCGCTCTGGGCACTTCGAGGCTTTAAGGAGCACTCTGCCATTCCATAAATGACTGCTAGAATGGCGCACAGTGTCACCACTGTTACGTATGCTTCGTTTCTCTGTCGCTCTGCACACATAACGAAGCACTAATCGCCTCTCCCTCTTTTCGAACGGGAGACGGAGCATGTCTTCTCCCACCAATGAGCCTGCTCGCCCAGTCATTACCGTACGGTCCCGATACAGCAGCGTATTCGCGGAACACTGTATTTCATACGCAGTAACGAAACGGCAAATTCATTCACTGTTTCGCCGCCAATTATATCGCTTTTCTTTGATTACAATACCCTCGCCTGTAATTTTGCTTTTTTGCGGAATTTCCTCGCGCATTTCTTCGCCATATTGTTGGCCGTTGGCCGGCGATGCCTGCCACTCCTCTGTCCTATGGCAATTGGCGCTGATGACTACGCCCTCGAAATGGCCCTTCTCCCTCCTCTTCTCCCCCTTCCCCCCCCTTTTTTTTTTTTTTTTTAAGCGATACATCGATACCCTGCCAAAAGGCCATTTGGTATTGAACGATGGGGGATCTAATGTGCCCCTGTTCCATTGTGGTACAAGCATCCTCGGAATTCAGATTTCCTTGAAATGACAAAACGGCCTATCCTCGTTCATCCCAATCCATCGCCTTTAAAATGTATTATTGAAGCTTAACTAAAAGCGCCGAAAGCTCATTCCACAAGACCTTAAGTCCGCTTCTCCTCCCATATCCTAGCCCCAAGTTCCCTGGTCCTTAGGTTACGACAAAGGACATGACTAGTAACCATTCCTATCGATAACTGTGACCCCTCACCGACCTGCTTTTCCTACTTAATGCATACATATCCTTACCTGCACGCCCTCGAAGTCTCGACCGGCTTGCCTACCAGCCCTGTATCTGCACCTCTTAGGTGATATATGCTGTTGGACATTGTCCTGCTTATTCTTCCCTCCCTGCACTCTTCTCTCTCATACCACCGACTCTCATGCGCCGGCTTTGGGTTTTTCTTGAATGCTGCTTAGCTATACTCTGAATCTGCTCTTGGCCACCCCAAGGCCATCCAAACCTCTACAGCAGCTATATTCATTTTGACGATTCTTTCCTCAAAAACACACATCCAGCTCTATTAGCTTGTCGGCGGGGAGTGGACCTTTTCGCTCTGGGAATGGACACTGAAACCCAGCACCCCCAAGACCATGACTTGGGAACCCCCCATTGGGCCGAGATGGGATTGTTCAACTCCCCACATCATCCTCTTGGGGACTTTCATGGGTTTACATTTGGCTCTTCGCCCATTGTGCCCTTAGAACCCACTTATAGCATGTCGATACCGCAGTCCTTCCCCCCCCAGCAACTCGGCCCTTTGACTATGGCCCCGCAATGGCCCAGCATGTTGTCAACTCAACCAAATTATGCGCCGGTGCCTCTGGCACCGATGCCGATGCCGATGCCGTCACATCTACAAAACCTGCATGCCACGCATGTTTCAAGCTCACCGACGCCGCGGCGCACCTTAACGGATGCAGACCGCCGCAGGATGTGCATGTACCACGAGGAGAATCCACATGTAAAGCAAACTGAGATTGGAGGTACGGTTTATATCAGATCCTGTTGTATAATGTCTGGACCTCAATGCTAACCGTTAGTTTATAAAGCCATGTTCGGCGTTGAGAGAAGGTGATAGACTATTTCTGACCTAGAGAGTTCGTTTTCTTATTGCATCCTTCTGACAATAATTACTTTTACAGCACCGTTTCGAAGGTATTACGCCAGAAAGAAAAGTATCTTTATCCTGATGATGGTCGTCGGTCACCAATCAAAAAGACTAAAGGCAAATTCCCCGACATCGAACGAGCCCTGTCTAATTGGGCCCGAAATCATGTACGCCATGGAGGAGAGCTGAGTGATGCTATGATCAGGGAAAGGGCCCTTTTCTTCGCCAACAGTGTGGGAAGCCCTGAAGGCCATCAAAAGCTCTTGAGCTCCAGCTGGCTGGAAAAGTTCAAGCGAAAGAACTACTTGCCGGGATCATTGTCACGAAAAGGCTCATTGGATGCGACAAATACCTCAGAAAGCCCCGGTACCGCTAACTCCATTGTCCACACCCCGAATGACCAATCATCTGTGTCTCCTTCAGGCATGTTAAGCCCGTCTCCTGTATCCCCAAAGCAGGTAGCGAATGAATTCAGGAAAGAAAGTATTGATTGCATCACCACTCGAAGCAACGATGACTTCTCACAGACGTTTTCTCCGCTTACGTCGCCCCTGGGTACCAACACATCAGTCACTGCTTTTACATCGGAAATTCCTTTCACACCGGATCAGACAACACCAGGACACAATCCTGTAAGGCAGAGGAGTCAAACACTGCCTATTTTAGCCGCAGACCAGCCTTGTGTTTCCAGCGAAACAACGGAAGCTCCATTAATCCAGGGCCTAGAGCCTTCTGCTATCGACGATAATGTCAACGCTGCGGAAGAAAATCCAGCCGTGAGACGAAACCGCAGTCAGCCCCAAATCAAAACGGAACTATCCCATTTCTCAAAATCCAATACCATCTCTCCTATTAGCTCCCCTGGTTCTCCAACACAGGACGAAGCCCGTCGAGCTCTGGAGCTAGTAAGGAATTACTTCCAGAACCAGCCCTCTGGTATTGGGGCACAGGAGTTTATGACCATCGGCAAACTTATGGAGAAGCTGGAACTTGTCCAGAGTCAGGGTACAAAGCTGGAGCGTATCGACGAACATGCTGACTTCCCACGAATGACGAAGAAGCGCAGTATCCATACGTTATAATCTCGACCCATATGCTCCTATGCGAGTCAAAGTCCGATAGTACTTGGGATATCCTAGCCGGAAAGTGTGTATGATTTATTTCGATAACAACAGGTTGAGATCGAGTGGAAGCCAAACTCCAGTCAATCGAGTATACCGATGTATCCATATACAGGCTGGTATGTATGGCGGGGTCACGGTCTGTCTTTTATTTGGAGTGCTAGGTCTGCCCTGGTTCCTGGACCTCTTTGTCCCATTTTTTTTTTTTTTTTAAATTATTTTTATTTTACAAAGTTTCTACGTTAATCTATTTTTATTTTTTCCTTTCTCGAGTGTTTTTTTTTTTTTTCTTTTTTGATTTTCTTCTCGCTTGATACTGCATTTTCTGGCCTATTTTGTTCATCGTATTCTTGTTTATGGTTTTATCTGTGGGGTTACTGGCGACCTTTTACATCGTGTACCGCTCGCGCGGACGGGGTACCTCTTCCTTACTTTCATCCTTTTTGGGAATTGGGAATGGGCTTTTTTTAGCAAGGGGATTATTACCAGGGTTGAAATGAAATCGGTAATGTATACCAAAGCATTTTCTATTGGAAACTGGGCGAGGGTAACAAGGTTTGAACTCACATATCATTATGGGCGCCTCTTATTTCGCTTGGCTTTTTTGTTCCCTTTATGACTTGGGTCTGAAAGAATCTGGCTTGATATTTCAAGTTTCCTGTTTTGCTCTCTCTGATAGGACGGCTTTGTAAATTGTAAGATCGAAGCGTCTCCGGACGTTCCTTTTTGCTTTTCCTGATATCCCCACCCCAAAATGATGGGCGAGAGGTCCTATTCACTACATCTCCAGCAAGACCATTATGGTATGCATTATCTATTTGGAATATCATATCATTATCTGTGACTAATGTGTACATGTATGTACCTTCGTACCAGGCGTCAGGAGGCCCCTTCCGAAGCACAGATCAGCCCGGAAGGACCATGATCAAGAGGCGGGTTGCATCAACGCATGGGCCAGTGCCAGGTTCGCCAATATTTTGTCCCGCAGCTTGGTCTGTGCGTGAAAATCTCAAAGCCCGCGCTCAGCCATGAGCTCTCCAACGCCATGTTCCATCAGCTCAGGGACGAGCTTGACCAACACGACTTCGACGATAGAGTAGACAAGATGTTTGTTGCAATACGAATCCGAGAAAAGGTCCAGCACATCGCGCTCGATAGCGCGCAGCAGCAGCAGCAGCTCCTTCTCGTCCTCCACCTGCTCTTTTTCGTATCCTAGGGCAAAAGTTGACAGGTCTAGTTTCTCGGGCTTGGTGTTTACCACCCTCCCCATGTCTGAGGTTGACGTTTGAGTTGCGCCCGGGTTGGAATGGGTCGGATCGAAATCGGTAATGGTCCCCGGTCTAGTTTCAGAGACCTCTGCGCCCGACAAAGGCGTAGAAGGAATAAGGCTAGGCGAAATCGATATTAGCGGGGAAGCCGCAGCCTCAGCTGGAGGAGGTATCACGGGGGAGGCGGGGTCATTTTCGCTCATAGCGCTTAGATTAATTCCACTGTATTCTTTGTCGGTCGGAATAGCGAAGATGGCCAATGCGACGCGCCTTGGGATCAGCCGAAGGATACTTCGGGCACATGCACGTTTAATAGAGTTTATTTTGGCGCCATTCGGCCGTTGGTCGGACGGGGTTTGCTGATGCGAATTTGATGTTGGTGGTGGTGGGGGTGCTGTGATCAGGGGTAGGGCTTCAGTTCCGCACTGTTTGCTAGTTGGAACTCCGATGTCGGCTTCTGGGGGGATCTCGATAGACGCTGGCCGGGCATTGGAGGGGAAAACGGTTGTTCGAACGGCGAGAAGCAAAGGGAGTAAGCTTTGCGTAAAGAGGTGCTTCTGGATCGTCTGGCGAAGAAATCTATTTTTGGGAAGGACCAAAAAAAAAAAAAAATTCAGTCAAGGGTATACAAGCAACGAGGACATAGCGCCAAAAAGCTGAGCAGAATGTGAGAATGCGAATGCAAGAGGCATGCCAAGGCAGAGAATTTGAAGATCAGTGCAACGATCAAGGAGCCGTGCTCAGTCAAAGAAAGCCGCCAATCGAGTACCCGGCGGCAACGATGGCAATGCCGATGACTTTGGGCATGACCGATGATTTGATGCCTGATCGCGGCTCCAACCTTGGCCTGAGGAACAAAAGTGACTGCGAGAAAATGGTCAAGAAATGGGTAAAGAACGATGACGTTCGAGTGGGATTGCCCGTTCGGCCCAGTTTGAAATGCGCTCCAGAAAATGATTGGTACCTGACTCGGTAACGGGAGCAGCGAGCGCCGGAGAAAAAAAGCAAAAATATCTCGTTGAAAAAAGAGCTTTTCCCAGATTTTACTTTTGGCCGGTTTTGCCAAAGGACACGGCGGGTGCATCGAACAAGAATAATGAGACACAGAGAGCAAGGCGCCATGCGAGCAATTCTCCCACTCGATGATGTAACTGACTCCGCTGGCGAGTCCTGAGCGGGATTGGAGCAGCTCCGCGAGCCTTTCGACGCGAAGGGAGGGAGGGGCGGGGATCTGCCAATCACAGAGACCGGCGGTGAAGAAGTGCAGAGTCTGGAGACTTTCTGCGGGCGGGCGGGAGGGCCGGCCCAGAGGACAGCGGGCGTGCCAGTTGCCAGCCACACCAGCCAACAAGCCAGCGCCAATGGGACGGGATGCAGCGCCGGGGTATGGAGTTATTTGGATTCTCTTTGACAGCGCTGCGGATCTTCCAAGGCGTCGCTCGCATGCACGGGAAGGTTTTGCAGCGCTCCGTACCAGATGTGGGGTGGTGTGTGGGTGGCCGCGTATTGCTGTTACCATATTTACACAAATACGGGTAACAGAGGCCGTTGCGTGTTTGGAATAACCCAAAAGGGTCAAAATTGGGATATTCCGGGGATATGAGTGGTTAAGCGACAAAACGATATTGAAACAAAATGCAACGAAGCGAGACAGAACCGCTAGGAACATAACACGGTAATACCGCTGTGAATTTCCCAGATACACGTCCGGAACAGAAAACAGAAAACAGAACAGAAAACGAAAGTGCTTGAACCAACTGTTTGCTCACAAAGCAAACAGCACAATTGGTGGACGGAAAAGCTGCCCACCATCAGATCAAGTGACTGAAAGGCCATGCGGGCAATGTCACCAGTCGATTCTTCAGACCCCTGCTTTGCGCTCTGATTGCTCCGTTGGTTCACCAGGGATCATCAAAAAAAGGGGAAACCGCGTGGGCTGGGAATGACGAAATGGATCAGAGACGAGACAGCCCACGGGGGTCTCCATCTGGTCGAGGGCGCTGAGCGACCACACCCATTTGGAATTCCATCCCATGCGGGGCAAGCAAACGGACAGATGGATATCTCGCAAATAACCGGAGCAATGAGACTGGCAGAACGCAAAATGAAACAAACGAGATTTAACTCACCTGTCGATAGCGCCGTCCGTCTCCCCAAGCCTCCCCGGACCGCTCAGCAGGACGTGCTGGACAAGAGCCAACGATCCTCCCAGCCAAGGCATCCGCCTCGAGACATCGACTAGTCGCGCCGCCATTCCAAAAATCCTATATTTAAGAATAGGAAGTCGCACGGTGCTACTACTGGACAAGGATTGGGTTTCAGTTGCAGGGGTTTTCGAAGTCGTCTCTGGCACGAGCCCTCGCACGGGCATGAATGACGATGGTGATGCTACCTGGGTCAGCTCGCGGGCAACAAATCGAATTGCCGCATATGCCAGATACGCATACTGCAAAATCGACCACAAGAGGAGTGATAGTGATGACTGGGTTTTAGCGGACGTATTACCGATGGGATCAGTGTCTGTTCGAGTGGAGAGAAGGCCAACTCTTCCCGGTTGACTCATTTCCGTGTCCTCCATCTCCGTATTCGCCTCCTCCGGTCCGGGCCTCAGTTCTCCGGCAAGTTTGGTGATGACCTCCCAAATAAACCAGCCTTCCACAACCTTTCCGCCGACGATTTCCCCGAGCAGCAGATCGGCAAGGATATCACCCACCAACGTCCTGAGGCATACGTTTTCTAGATCTTCCGTGGGGAGGAGGACGGCTAGGATTCCTTGCGCTAGCATCTGCCGATATATCGATTCTCTCTCCTGCTGCTCCACGACAGATGCAGGGTTCGATACCGACGGCACGGGAGAGAGGGCCGGATGGGGGTTCAAGGCGTGATACGCGATCCGGAACTGGGCCTGGGACCGAGCGGCCATAGCGCTCTGGTCTGCCATACGATACGCTACGGACACACGCAAATATCGCGGTCAACTTAATGGTTCCCCAAAAGGTAACATTCATTTGCACTTCTCACCGATGACATGGGCCTCAATCAACGACGGAATCTCGTCCAAGACAAGAGCATGTATGTCGATTTGCCGTAAGCGTTGTTCGAGAGCACGCGTGCAATGGGCAATCACCTGGATGATTTCCTCGGTGAAACTGTGATCAGGGGTAATCTTCGAGTACCAGAGGTAAACAAATTCCTTCATGATGATCGCAATCAAAGCGTAAAGCTGAAGATCGACCTCATTGGAGCTTGTAAGTGGAGGCAGTATCTCCTCGAGTGGTCGGGGGGTTCCACGATCCCGCTGCTCCGAGCCATGGCCGGGCACCTGGGCACAGAGCACCCGGAGTATCAGTGCTCTTGTAGCTCGCTCGCTTGTAAAGTCCGTTTGCGTCGTGAATTTTGGTCCATGGCGGGCATGAGATATCGCCCTGGATCCGGCCGGAGACCTTCTTGGGGGCGTAGAAGCAGTTGTATCGGAAGCGGTTGGTCCGAATTTCGAAAACAGTTGCAGGTTGTCAGTCATTTCCTGGTTATCAGTTGGTCAAACTAAGACCACGGGAAGTGTCGAGAGGACTCATGGGGCTTGCTCGAGGCGTGTGTGATGACTAAAGAGTTGATTCAAAATGGCGGGTGAGACATCACAGGGGCGAGAATGAAATGCTCCTTGCTCTGGTCTCGATGGGTGGGCGCCTTGGTCAGCCAGAAGCCAGCACTGTTTGCCTCGCCGTGTGCAGTTCAAGGAGTTCAAGCCGCATGGTGCTGTGTAGTTATTATAACAACTCACCAACCCGCTAACTCAACTAACTACTAACTAACCTCCACGCAGTGCTTAGTAACTGACATCAACCTGAGCTAGCCAGCCAAAGGACCCGCTGATAAGATAAACTCCTCATTCAAACCCCGCCAGCTCAACGAGGGGAGAGACCAAGGCCAGGGCCGCGGGTGAAAGTGCAGTAAAGTGTTTCGAGAATGACATTGGAGATACCACAAGAACCACAACCGGTTCCACTTTGGCTGGATTGCGATCCCGGTGAGCAGGCTAACCCTGAGCAACAGCTTGCCAGTTGAGGCACACCGTGCTAAGCGAAGCGGATTCTAGGGCATGATGTATGACTGCAATTCCTGAATTGAATCGGTGGACTTTGAGCTGATGCTGTGGTAAAAAAAGGATGCGTTTGCTATTCTTCTAGCCGCCCATCACCCACAGTTGAAGCTCCTTGGGATCACGACCGTCCACGGCAACGCGTCCCTTGAGAATACAACTGCTAATGCAGGGAGCATTCTGGAAGCCATCGGGAGGTCTGACATCCCTGTCTATCCCGGCTCAAAGAAACCCTTTTGCAGGCTTCCGGTTCATGCTCCCAGTATTCATGGTACGGCTAGTTTTCATCCTTTTGGTCATCGTTAAGCTCTAGATTCGCTTGCTGAGCATACTGTATCTAGGCTCGTCTGGAATTGATGGAACCGACCTCCTTCCCGTGCCGAAAGTTCCGCCAGTGACGGATGTCAATCCAATCCTGGCCATGCGAAACGCTCTGCTTGCGCAGCCCAAGGATACCGCGTGGGTTGTTGCTACTGGGGCGCTAACAAACGTCGGGTTGCTCTTTGCTACATTCCCCGAAGTTGCAGAACACGTTCGAGGAGTAAGCATCATGGGAGGAGCGATTGGCTCAGGATTCACAGATGTGCCGATCAGCAAAAAGCCTGGCGAAGCAACCAGGATTGGGAATACTACACCATATTCCGAATTTAACATCTACGTAAGCTCCAAGCTTTATGGCCAACATCCCCTTTCAATTCAAGAGGAGCTAACGGTTCAATCTAATGATACTAGACGGATCCAGAGGCAGCTAAATCTATCTTGATGTCACCAATTCTAGCACCGAAGACAACTCTAATTACTCTGGATCTCACACATCAAGTCCTCGCGACTCAGGAAATTCAATCACTCATCCTCGCTACCGAGACAACCGATAACTCTGAGCCGTCAGTTCTTCGACAAATTCTTCATGCACTGCTCACATTTTTTGCGAGTTCTTATGATACGGTGTTTGGCATTGACTCTGGGCCCCCACTGCATGACCCTGTCGCGGTTGCGGTCCTTCTTTCAAACCTAAACGACTCACAGATGGCTGGCCGCAAAGATATATTGCAGTTCAACGACAATGACGGAGAGAGATATATCGTCGATGTCGTCACCAACGGTTCGCATGGAAAAGACGTTCAGCTGACCGGAGAGGTAGGTCGCACAGTGGCCCAAAAGACGGCTGACTCTCTCGGTGGTGTCACTATACCAGTTAGCATGGACGTCAATAAGTTTTGGGGCATCATTTTGGACTGTCTACAAAGAGCGGAGAAGTGTAAGGCGATGCAGCTTGCTGCAAATTGTTAGTAGCACCGTGGTCGGATTAGTTATGGGATTTGGATCGAGCCGGGACGAATGATGCCGCGAATAGACTTAGACCTAGGTATGTGCCCTTTTTAGATGACGAATAGACTAATGAATCCGGTTGAAGGACCTTTTTTTTGGTTGCCCCGCTCATGCATTTTCATCTTTGGCGTTGTGTATGAATTCCTCGTAGAATATCTGAGGCGCCTGTAGATTGTCGCTCCACCATACATAAGCTGCTGGCTAGGGAGCACTGCATCTTTTCCAACGTGGATCAGATGCGGCCTGATGGCTATCGGAATTGGACCATTGCGCCTCAACGGATTTCGAACCAGCGAGGGCCCCGGGCGGGGGGGAAATAATGTGCTCTCTTTCTGCGCGTCTAACGTCCTCAAGATGGATCCTGTCAAACTAACTAGCCGCCCAGCAATGACGCCTTGGAGAAGAAACAGATTAGGGCGGCAGGCGCCGAGTTTGAGATGAGGCAGCGAAGCAAGGCTGGACGGCGTCAAGGAGCTGTGTATTCCGGCTAATCGAGCCTGGCTGTCGGGGCGGATCAGGCCGTTGTCGGGATAGCTCGCCAGTCAGTAGTTGTTAGTTACTCCGCAACTGGGGGTAGAAATGATGCTGTCTGGTGATCGCCTTTGGAATGCGGAGATAAACCCATGCTCGGGTGCAACGGAAGCTGAGGCGATCCGGAGGGCGGCGGTGAGGTGAGAATTAATATGTATGTGCTCCGTCGCTGCTCCGTAACTGGTGGCGATAATAGGGCATGGTAATGGATTGTTTTATCCGGATTCTTTGTTCGTCCTGTCGACTTCCCTCCTCTTCGCCGGCGTTTCAACTGTGGCTAACTTGAGGATTTCACATCAACTCTCCTCTCCGGCTCAAACGCCCCTCACTCAATGTCCGACGGAGCGTGAGAGCACATTCTCTCTGACCACGTCGAGGATTCCAACCCGGTCATTCGTTTCGTCAAAATCAAATTGTGTTTTTGCTTCCTTTGAATATATTCTAAAGATCTAGGCTGTTCATACGACATCCTCGGTTCTTCCCCCGTCTTCCGCCCGCTCGTCGCGATCAGTCAGTCCTTCAACTTTGACTGCAGCGGACTGCCGATCTTTGCCATTTCCCAATAATTAAATAACTAACGAGTTGACTGGGATGAATTACGTCCAGAGCACTGCTTCTTGACCGGCATCGTGAGCAATCCTATTATTCAACCCTTTTATCTGCTCTGAGAACTGGCCGAGAGAAAACCAAACGCGGGACACTTCGCTCTTGATATGCCACCGGCGAATTCGCCAACAGTACGAAGCTCCCTGCCCACATCTGGTTTTGAGATCGCTCTTTCAACTACCCTGCCTCGTCCCCCGTTTTTCTCCCTGACCGTTGGTTCGGTTTCTGATTCGTGAACAACTCATTGATTGACGGAATCTGCCTCCTGGACAGGACACCACCCCTACTGTTGACTCTCCTTCATCACCCAGTCCATTCCTTCAGCAGCTTGAGATTATTTCTACTCCTGTTTTGGACCTTGCCGCCACACTCATGAATCACCCGGAAGACGCTATCCATGACCAGAATGTCAGGTTCCTACGAACTCGTCGCGAATCCAACGAGGAACGCCGCCACGGAACCCCCCGCTCTCGTGGCAGCGGATGGAACTTCGTCTCGGAATCAAGTGGTTCTGGTAATCCAGATGGAAACGGAACAAGTCGACCTCAGACAACCACGAGATCGAGTGATCGAGTGCCCATAGTTCGACGTCGAAACCTGAGAGCTGGAGATTATCGGGAACCGCCCCCGCAACATTCGCAGTCCGTATATGGCTGGGCCCCGGACTTCGATGATGATGACGACGATGATCTGGATGATTTCTCTTCCGGCTTGCTGCATCGCATGTGGCATTCTCGAGAGAGTGCGAGACTTTCCGGGCGAACGTCAGCTCCATCTTACGAGTCGATGAGAGAACCTTCATCCAGAACCTCTCGTCCTGTGAATAGTGAACAAGAAGGAAGAAGAAACCCACCATCGCGCTACGACTTGTATGGGGACTCCGCGTTGGTCACTGCTGCCCTTCTCCAGTCGGCTCGACGACATCCAAGGTTTTCGACGAGTAGGATACCACAGAATCAAGCTCCTGATAGCGACACGGCGAGAAGTAGGAATTCAACAGAGGATGAAATGCGGCGACCCTTCGCAGCAACGCACATTCACAACCCTCATACGTCTATATTAACCCGTGGAGACCTGCATAGACATCCAGAATTACGCCGAATGTATCTAAAAGACCCTTCCGTTGATCGCCTAAAAGAGACGATTCATTACCTAGATCGAGTTCGCTTCTCCAATTCATACGAAGAGAGCGTTTCTTCAGCCGCTGCGGGTGGATTTGTGCAGCTTGATTACTTCCTTTCGAACGAAGACGACTTTATCCTAAATACCAACTCGATCGCTCCGCCTGCTGAATGTTCGTGGCTTAAGCCGGGAACGGTGTTTTCGGGCCACCAGCAAGCAACGCACTCCAGCTCCCCTTCCATGCTTTCCCACCGAGTCCCCGGCTCAAATCGTTTGATAGATCCTGTGATCGTCAATGGAAACGAGAATAACCGGATAACCGTTTATACCAGCAGTGGTCGGCGTTACTGGGCACATAGCACTAGCGATCTATCCGGTGGCAGCACTGATGAACCGGAAAGTTCCAAGATGCAACGGTGGCCTGTCAAGGTGACCATCCATGATATCGACTACAGCACAATGACATTGTCAGGGACAATGGAGGCATATAATATCCCTGACAAAACAGCTACCAACCAAAGCGCACATATAATCACCTTTCTGGAAGGAGAAATCATTGATTTCCACACACACACATTGGAAACAAAGAACTTCAATGCAAGTCCTGAGGTTGATAGCTGCTATTGGAGAGAACTAGAGCCGTTCCAGAGCCAGACACCTGATGAGATTGTGAAGAGTCTTGTTAGCAAGAAATGGCTCTCTGAGACCCTGGCAAAGGGATGGATATTGATGAGATGGAAAGGTGTGTTTCCTTTTATTTTCCTTTTATTTTCCTTTTCTTCTTTTTTTTTTTTTTTTTAGCTAACATTCCGAATACCATTCTAGAACGATGCTTCGTTTCCCCATCTCATTCCCGTCAAGGCCTCACTATCTCAGGTTTCTATTACATCTCAATACGTCGAGAGGATGGACACATCGCTGGGATGTATTACGATCCGGGCAGCTCACCGTACCAGGAACTCACCCTGAACCCCGTTTTGAAAGAAAGGATGGCTTTCCCAGCGTACAGTTTTCGCTAAAGGCTGCAAGTCGACACAACGAAATAGTGATAATCAATCAGCTAAACGCATACAATTCATCGGGCTTTCCCGATTCTGCTGTCAGTTTACAATTTGGTAGCATGCGGTGTAGAATCACCCTTGTTCAGAGATATTTGCACACGCACTGGCCTATTGTCATCTCTTCCTGCCACCCCTCGGAGTTTATTATACCCCAAGCCCTTATGGTTCATTTGCGTGCTTGACATTTTACTGCCTTGGCCAATTTTACTGGCGTATTTCCCTGTAGCAGGTTGTATTCTCACATTGCTCGCGCTTCGCTGTTTTTATTTAGGGCGCTGTGGCGAACTTCTGACACTGGGAATTGATACCATTTCCCCTTCTCCAGTATCAGGCGACAACTCTGGTTTGTATATACAGGAGATGAATGGATCTACTATTTAACATGATTGGGAAGTGACTGTCGTTGAAAGGATGAAGTTATCCATTTAGCCAAGCTTTACTTCCTAAGCTATGGGCGATGCGATCCATACATATCAACTACTTCGATGGCATTTCATTCGATATCAAACAGGATAATCTAGGTCTAAGTCCACATCGTAGATTCCCGAACATCTCTGCTGTCCGACAAATCTTGCATGTTTTCTTAATCTGTTTTCCGTTTGATATCACATAAAACATTGTGACTCAAAGCCGAAGACTTTTGCTTTTTTCTTGGTTTCACGTTCCGCCTATACATGCAACAAGCAGCCGCTGAGCGGAACCACCTTGTTTGCTTTACTGCTCAGTCTGGAAGTAGTTGAGGAGGACAGAGCGTTCCTGTGATTCTTCTCCCCAGTCACGGAGGACAACGCAGGAGCAGTTGACAACCTTGCGAGGGTTTCCTTCACGGTCAAGCACGCCTAAAAAAAGAAACAAAGGTCAGCCACCCAACTCTCTACCCAAACGCCATGGCTAACACGATCGAATGTCACAGGGATTAGGAGTGCTAAAAAGACATACAGAGTCCAACCCATTCACCCAACATCTTGCCGTCGGGCACCTTGATCAATGGAATCTTATGCTCCTGGCACAGAGCAATGACCAGCTTCTTGTATGCCTCCTCTTCGCATGCCTCGTTGAGAACGCACATGTGGGCCTGGCGACGATCGAGCGCTTTGGCAGCCTCACGAAGGCCACGAGCAAGACCGTCGTGGATGAGGGCGATCTTCAAGACACCCTTGAGAGCATCGAGAACGGACATGGAGCTACCGCCGGTAGCGGTGGCGGAAACTTCGACCTCTTCGGCCGCAACGACGGGGGTCTCTTCTCCATCCGACTATTTCCAGTGGAAAGATGAAGTGTCAGTGATGGTTGTTTGATCAGTGTTTAAACCGATTCGTTTGCTTTCCGGCTCGCATCGAACAGCGCATTTGTTCGCGAGCCCAAGCGGAATCTTCTCGTACAAATGAAATTAAAGGTGGATTGGCATACCATTTTGACGTGTCTGGTAGCTACTTGAGCTGTTTCAAATGCCGGATTATCCTCAAAGAGTGATGGAGATGATGGCTGAGAGAAATATCGGAGTGGATGGTTTGGCTGGAGATGTCGAGGAAATAATTTCCTTCGGCTAATCAGTGTGCCCTATCTGCGATAACTGGCTTATGTAATCATTTCCTTATCGCTGGGACAAGCGAGAAAAGCGCATCGCCATCAGCTAGGAATTCAGGATTATTCACATGAATGGCCGTCTCAAAAAGGTAGCTGGCCGATATTTTGAATGGAAAAGGCATAGAAGACTACAGCATCATCCGAGGAATGCAGGTTAAAGTGACAGCCATGCAGCCCGATCATAAAAAATAGAGACGATATGAACCCCCCAAGCCTTCCCCCCACACAAAATAAAAGCTCGCTGCACAAGCACCTCTCCCAAAAGGCTAAACCCCCTTTCGCACGAGTGAATCTAATACTCCATAAACCAAAACCCCAACATCGCTGGGAGGAAGATGGCTCCAAAAATCGCTAACGAAGGAGAAACCAAAATTGGTGAAGTCGAAGTAAACACCATTACGAGGAGGACGTCAGGTTTTGACCACAGTTAACCAGGGGGATATCGGTGGCTGGCGCTTAATTTGCCAGTCCTGAAGTCCCAGCTTGCTTCTGTATGGCCTGTCCAGCGTCGTTGCCTGACTCCGACAAATGATATATGACCATTCCGGTGAGACGAAGATCAAGGCCGTGAAGATGGGGCGTATGTGGAACTAAGTCCATGAAGTCCGATAGCTGATGGCACATTAGCGAGGGAGCCAGTGGAAAGGGAAGAACAGAGGCCGCGATTATACACCCACCTTTACCCAAAATACATGCTCCATCGAGTAGAACTTCGGTTTCATCTCTGCAACGCGGTTGCTGACGTCGTCCCAAGACGTGTCAACTACAGGCAGCTCATCAATATAAGATAGCATGCTTCGAGTCACACGCCACAGGCTGTATCTATGATCAGAGGTCGCAATCCGCCGTTCCCAGCTGGGATCTGTGCTCCAATCAGCATTTTCACCGGATAGCTAAAACAAATCGAACAACAACTTACATTGTGAAAGCTGTAGATCATTGGATGCTAAGAGGGGTGCGACTTGATAATTGATGACCCAGCGTTCATCCTCCCCTTCCTCGTTGCAAGAGCTATCAAGCTGTTTTGTTCGGACAGTGAAAACAGGTACAAGCTTATTGAGCCACGGCACACTCTTTGCTTTTGGGTCGTCGGAGCCAATCAAATTTGCTGCAGCGCGGAGTCTATGTGGAAGCGCATCCCTGCGCCGCTGTTCTTGTTTCTCTTGTTCCTTACGCAGCCTCGCTTGCCGGTGTTCCTCCTCTATTCGCCTCTGGTGTTCTTCTTCCGCCTGTCGAATACGTCGCTCTTCTGCCTCCTTTCGCTTTCGTTCTTCTTCCTCTCGCCTTCGTTCTTGCTCTGCCTGCTCAAGAGCAAGTTTGGCGGCTTGCTTGGTGGCCTCGTCTTCTTTCACTTCTTTAACTTCGCTTACCTCCTCCTTGACAGACATAGCAGCCATTGCAGGGCGGATTCGTTCCGAATCCTCCGGGGTACCTTTTTGTTCCGAATCCTTAGCCTCCGGATGCTCATCGGGCTGTCCGTTTTCTTTCGTGTCATGTTCACTAACTTCGGCTATTGCAGCGTCAGTTGTAAGTTTCGGCTCTGTTTGGTACTGCAGCTTCTGTGCAGAAACTGGGACCTCGACATCCTTTGAAGTATCCTTCAACTCCGTATTCTCATGCATGGTATGGCCTATCTCGGTCTTTTCTGAACCCGTGCTTGCAGAACTACTTGTCTCAGGCTGAGATGTAGGTTTTGGAGATGGCGGTCGCTCAACAAGTGTTTTCTTCATGGACTCCTTCGACGGCCGTGTTGGGCTACACTCGATTTCAACCTTCCGTTTCTTTTTTTGGGGATCTGAATCCTCGCTGCTTTCTCCTGGTCTTCCACGAGATTGATGTGGCTCGGGCGAGACACTGCCTCGGGTTCTTTTTGAGGGAGAAACTTCTTTAATTCGACGCGTTTCGTGACTAAATTTCTCGACTCGCTCTTTGGAAGCTTCGTCCCGTGGCGAATGTGAGTCTGTCGACATAAAGCTTCCCCTTCTTCGATCCGGGGGGCGTCCAGCAATCAAACGCCGACGCTTTATAGGTTCTTCGCCGTGATTAGCCGCAGTTCCGGAGTCAGGATACTTTTTCGAGTCTGAGGGAAGCTTTTGTTTTGTGTGTCGAGAACGGGTAGAGTCATGGTCGGAGGTAGTGTGGTATTCGCTGTTGGCATCATCGTGAGGTGTTTTTCTATGGGACTTCGTTGAAGCCTGGCCCAAACTTTCATCCTTTCCACCATCCTTCCTCGTCCTATTAATTTTTGACGATCCATGGTGCTGGTTGCGTGACTCAGGGCTACGAGCCGATCTTCGATGGGAAGAAGCTGGAGACACAGAATCTTCCAAAGAATTTCTAACATCGCGTGACTTCTTCGAAGTTCTAACATCGGATTTCGCAGCTTTAGAAGAGCTGAGATAATTATCGTATGCATCTCTAAGTAACTTCCGTTCCGCTTCCCAATTTTCTCCTTTGCGTTCCTCGGATATCTGGTAGTAAGTACGCCCTCTATGGTCCAGACGTGTTGGATCAAACCCCCTCTGGTCTAAAAGGAGCTTGATTACAGAATTATTCCCTCTGCCAATGGCTGCCAGGATCGGAGTGTTGTATCCTGGTTTGTGGTTACCCGACTTGATCGGTTCCGGGTTCGGGTCGGGATTCCCCATACCAAGCAAAATGCCTAAGACTTCATCGTGGCTTCCTTTGGCCGCGGCAATGAGGGATTCAGTGTCCGCTTTCTGAAGGACATTGAGAATGTTCGCCACTCCAGCCATGTCACCTTTTGCTGCAAAATCCCGCAAATTCTCTGGGGTCGGCCGAGTCCATAACAGGTCGTTGCGAGTAGCTTCACTTCTCACTGTTCTTCGGCGGCTTAAACCAGCTGGGGGTGAATTTCGGGCGCCAAAGACCGGCGGCGAATCACGAGGGCTTGCCGCAGACGCTCCACGAGAAGATGCCTCCTTGGTAGGATAAGCGGATCCACGGCTTCCCATATCGACTGACTTCCGCCGGTGAATGCCCTTTACTTTGGCTTCCGCAAGAACTGTGCGAAGTTTATCGTAATTCTCGCTATCAGATGGTACGAGGTCGTAAGGCTCATCACCCTCAGCATTTCCCACACGAGGATTAGCTCCAGCGTTGAGTAATAATTTTACCACATCCAAGTGCCCATTCTCCACCGCATCGATAAGAGGAGTATCTTTGTCGATATTTTTCGTGTTAATGTCGCAACCAGCCTCGAGGAGAAATTTGACGATGTCCGCACTTCCCTCCAGAGCTGCAATTTGAAGCGGTGTATTTCCAGCATTGTCGGGAACATCCAATTCCTCAGGGTGTGCTGCGTAGCGAGCTTTGGCAGCTTCAACTTCTTGGGCAGCGCAAGCGCGAGCCAATCTTGTCCTCCCATTTTGATCGCGTTGCCTCTTTGGCGGCATTTGTTTTGCAGGAGAGGTCGCGTGTTCGGTAGAGAGGACCCTTCGAGGACGGGTGACAGGTAAAGGGGAACCACGTGTAGATGATGCGGATGATTCTCTATCCTCCGAGCTATGCCTGTGGCGGTCTGTGATCAAAGGTGGAGCAGCAAACCTTTTCTTTTGTGATCGGCTAGTTGACTGCGATGATGTTGACAGGCCACGCTTATGTGAGCGAACAGCAGGGGAAACCGATCGATCATGAGAGAGATGGCGAGAGTGCGCCAAAGTGTTCCTTTCTTCACGCCTAGCATTCCTTCCAGTGGATACACCCTGGTTCGCATATTTACCATGGGCCCTATCTTCCACAAAAGTATCATCAGCTTCACTTTCCGCATGCTTCTTATGTTCAATGCTTTTCACGACATTAATGTTCTCTGCGCGGGACAGTGAAGGAGCATGAGTTGCAGCGGTGTATACAGAGTCTTCTGTTTTTTCTCGCTTTAATCTCGGTGTCGGCGAAGATACTCTTGAATTTGGCCTACTTTCGTGGCGGGCGTCAATTGATATGCTCTCTCCGTGGTCGTTTTCTAGCCTTTTTCTTTTTCTCGCCTTGAAATCATCGCCGGTCGCTATGTTTCTCGTACCGAGAGACTCGTTATGACTCCGCTTCCCACCATTGTGTTCGACCTTGTGCTGGATATACTTTCTCTTCTTTTCAGGTGAAAGCTCCTCTCGACCGGATTGGATAATGGTCTCCGCTTCAGAATCCGCTTTTACACTTGCCGCATCATCACTATGGCCACTACCGTCGGGTGTGGCTTTCGCCTCTCCGTTTAGAGGTGCTGTATTTGCTCTCGGAGGGAGAAAGAACTCCTTGTGCGGTCTTTCACTTCCCAGGCGTTGGTCGGTTGGATGTGTATTACGGGCGGCAGGTGAGAGCACTGACGCCACTTCAGCATCATTCATAGCGGCTGCTCTCGAAATAAGACAGCTCTTCGTCGCATCATCAATGGCCGTGGTGTCTGTAATTGAGTTGGCCACCGACACGATCAGACGACTGCTGCAATCGTCCCAAGTATGAACGTATCGAGACAGGGGATACCTGGATTCGAGATGAAACAAGAGATGGAGAGCCTAAAACGGAGAATGTAGCAGAGCTTCTATTGAATTATCTGATGAGCCGAGTATGCAGGATAGCAGGGTGGGAGGGCGCAAGTCGTTCAGAAGGCCGAAGTTGATCGCGGACGAAGAGGGCGAGCAAAGGCAAGATGCGTCGTCTCGTTGACCTGAGTTTGGCGCTAGGATTGTTTTGGAAGCCTGGCTCTCGCCGCTAGACCTGATTCGGATGGTTGCCTCACAGCTCTGTGGCGTCGAAGCTAACTGTGGCGCGGTGCGAAGCTGCGGGAAGTCAAGTCGAGGATGCGAGGACGGCGGGCTGCGGTTGGGTGTGATCCAGGAGGCATTCTAGATTACGTTGAACAGCCGCCAGCGATGGAGTGCAAATGGGCCGTACCGTCTCTCGATGTCGCGGACCTGCTACGAAGTGGCTTCTTGACGGCTGGCGCGGCGGTACGTGCTCCCGGCCTGTTACAAATGAGACGCTGCATGGCACTGCTGTTGACTGACTGGCAACAGATCTTGGCCGCTAATAGCATCCCAATGCTTCGTGGACGGTTCATTCCATACGGGGCACGCTCCGGCCAACCATCCTCAGGCGATGGCAGAGAGAGTGACCCCAAAGCGACGTCGAATGCACCTCCATCTGCATCTTCTCCCAAGCATGTCTTGGATTATATGGCAACGTGGAATGTCCCACACAGCCATTTCATGCATTTTTACATTGTCTCTGTCCTATCATCTTTACTCTGGGCCCTTCAATTGGCCACCCGGGGTCCGCTTTTTAGAGCGGTTGCTGTGACTTTGAACGAGAGGAACTTGAGGCACGCTATGTCGCCCGGCCAGGTTGTCTTGTGCTGGGCTCTGCTTGCCATTCAAGGTGCTCGACGACTTTACGAATGTATCACCTTGACTCGCCCGTCAGCCTCGAAGATGTGGTTTGGCCACTGGCTATTTGGACTGGGCTTTTACGCGTCCATGAGTGTCGCAATCTGGATCGAAGGAACCGGTAGGATGAAATCTTCCCCCTGTGAAAGTTGACGTTCAGGTGAATTGATTTTGATCGGCCAATCATAGCTACCCTTCTTTCATCCAATATATCCCTCGATGACGCGAGCCTGGTGACTCCGTCAATGAAAACAATGATATTCCTCCCGGTTTTCTTGATCGCATCTGGCATCCAATATGACTGTCATTGTTACCTGGCCTCTCTGAAAAAGTATACACTCCCGGAACACCCAGCATTTGTCAGGTTGGTATGTCCTCACTATACTGCCGAGTGTGCCATCTACTTAGCGCTAAGCTTCCTCGCGGCACCGAAGGGAGAACTCGTTAATAAAACGGTGTTCTCCGGGCTTTTATTGGTTATGATTAATTTGGGAGTTTCGGCGGGCGTTAGCAAGGACTGGTATGCCCGGCGCTTTGGCGCGGATCAGGTGGAAAGCAAATGGAAAATGATACCCCGAGTATATTAGAAAATTAGTTGCGTTCAAGCCGACGATAATCATTCCGTGAATGTTCTCAAAAACCGTGGCTATCATCTCTTATTGAGAAATTTCATAGTATTTCCCAACTTCGAAACTCGGAGAACATCGCGATACGTCAAACTAATCCTTGTCTCCCTTTCATAGCTCCCGGTTCCAAATGGAGCCTTGTCTACCAAATGATCCCAATTGCATATCGTTTCTGGTCCAAGATAATCGTCGCTCGTCTTTTCAGCAATCCCATGCATGTAATCAGTATAGAGCTTGTCAGTTGTGATGAGCAGGCTCCGGGGTTCCTGTAGGATTCTATACAACGGTGCCTTGCCTGTATCAGCACTGCTAGTGTCCTTTGTCATCGACGGGACTTGCTGTCCATCGTTTTTCTTTTCATATATGTCCAAAACGATAGGAGCTCCAATGCTCACGGTAGCCACGAGTGGATGGTATGCGGGTCCATCCTCATGGGGCATAATTCCCTGGCCGGGTTGATACTCATTGATGAGGACGTGATTGGGCGCCTTGTGCGGCGAAGCAGAAAAAATGGCTAACTTTTGAAAGCGGGTTATTACTGGAGTGACGAGCCAGGCCGGAAGTGGTGACTCGAGGAGCGTATTGGAGTTCGTTAAGGCGGACGGCCAGCTCTGGAGGCGCCTTCGTGTTAGATGCGTCCAGCGAGGCAGCGGCACAGTTGTGATCTTTCAACAAAGTTAGCTTGGCTGATTCCTTTATAGCAATTTGGTAGTAGGATATTTAAGGGAGGAGCATTATGCCTCCCATCGTCGGACTACAGTCTCACTCCTTTGAAAAGAAGCAGAAAGTTCGGCGCACCTTGTTCAACAGTCGATCTTCTTCATCTTCTGAAATGAACTCTGGGATATAATAAGCAGTTTCTGGCAAGGATTTGATACGATATTGTGCCAAATCATTTGCCATTTGGACAGTCTTTGGCTGAGAGCTGCCTGTTTTAAGTGTCAATTCCGCAGTGGTGACTTGTGATAAGTTATGAAGGGGTTAGGGACCAGATAGAGCTGTTAAATATAACATGATATTGCAAGGACTTTGCCCAAATGTATTTAGTAAGATAGTGAGAGTAGTATGTATGCGATGAAGAGTGGTCACCTCTGTATCCCTCATTTCCCCACGAAGCAGCAAACCCAACCATAAACAATCTCGAATCCGCGCACCATCTTCCCGAGCTCCCTAGCGCTGCAGTTCAATCATGGCACCCAAAAACAAAGGCAAAGGCAAAGGCAAAGCAAAAGACAGCTCAGAAAGCGGCGATGTTGGCGGCAAGGGTAAAGGCCTCAAGCCCGCCAACTCCATCAACGTCCGCCACATTCTTGTACGTTGTTTAATACCCCTCCAACGCCCACCATAGCTACATATGCAGCTACATCCGGAACATATACATGAAAGACAGCGAAGTGAAAGCGAAACTAAAGCAAAGCTGACTTGACCCTTCTTCTCTTCTCTATCAGTGCGAAAAACACTCTAAGAAAGAAGAAGCTCTCGCAAAGCTGAGAGCGGGCGCCAAGTTCGACGAAGTCGCGAGAGAATTCTCTGAAGACAAAGCTCGACAAGGTATGGGCTTCTTTCTTCCCTTCCTTAAATTCATTCACTCTTTTTGCTTCGTGCTTCGTATCTTCTCCAGTCGGGGGCAAAATATGAATTTTTTTATATATCTCGATATACCTCTTACCACTGTTTTCAATAGGCGGATCTCTAGGCTGGAAGATCAGAGGCAGTCTCGACGCCGCGTTTGAGAAGGCCGCATATGACCTGGAGCCCAGCACGACAGCTAGTCCCAAATATGCAGAGGTAAAAACGGGCTTTGGCTATCACATTATCATGGTAGAAGGCAGGAAGTGAATGAATATTTTCGTTATCAACGGTGCTAGAGATGGTCTAGTAGAAATCTCGAGAATGCAGCGTGCTAGTTCGGACGTAATAACACATAAAAGATTTCAGAAATATCTGTCTAGGTCGATGTATATATACACAATTCTTTTCTATTGTTTCCAGCGCTTTTCCTCTTAAGTTCTATGACGTAGCTTTCCCAGCGTTTATAATTCCTTTTCCCCTTTGGTTGCGACGCCGTTCTGCGATTTCTCTTTCTCCCTCATCTTCTTCGCCTTCTCCTTCTTCTGGACGATAGCCTCGGCTCCAATACCGCCAAAGACCAAACCCACGCCAAGCCATTGTCCACCGGTGAGGCGGTGGCCGAACCACACCACGCTCAGCAGCATAGTAAGCATCTTCCTGGTCACTGTCACCGTGACAAGTAATAAAGACGAGAAATGCGCCAAAGTGTAAAAAATGAATAATTGGCCAATGGCTCCACAGGCAGCGAATGCCACTACATCCTTCGTAGCATGTGGATGGCGAGACAAGAATGACAATGCTGAAGAGAGTTCATTTGTCTGCGAGGGAGGAACAGGTAGCGGAAGCAGAGGTAGAATAGACGAGGAGATATGTGGGATGAGGATAAGGTAACAACTCGTGAGCATCGTCGAGAGAAAATTCTGCGCAACCATCATTTGCGGACCAGTGAACTTCGAATAGATGTTGGGAGACGAGAAGATGTGGTCTTGTGTGGTGTTAGTCAGACCGTCGAGGAGGAGGTTGATGGAGAGAAGGAAGAGCCCAAAGGCTGAAGAGCTGTCGATGTTGTTGTTATTGTGCTTCTTTTTGCGGGATGAAGGATGGTGGAGTGTAAACGTTGCGACACCTAGTGTGACGAGCAGAATCACACCATACTTATATAGCGGATAGCGTTTTCGGAAAATAGTGAGGTGGAGGAACATGACCGGAAGGAGCTTGCAGGACTTGGCCAAAATAAATGTAAGATAATCGATATGTGCTAAACTTGCATATCCGAACGGCGAGGCAAGAGAGGATGATACGCTGACAAGAATTAGGGGAATCAGAATGCGACGGGTCGGGAAGACTGGAAGGCGTTTCTGATTTCGAGGCGTGGAGAAATATAAATACAGGAAGCCAGTTATGGCCGCAAAGAAGGACTGAATAGTGTTGAGAACGACGGAGAAAGTAAATCGCTCTGTAGGTGGGTGAGGGTCGTGCGCAGTTGGAGATCGAACTGGCCAGTCGGTTGTGGTAATCGTCTCTTGAAGCACGCCCCAGGAGAGACTGGGGTTGCGACGGTTAGTATCAAGCGCTCACAATCAAGGAGAGAGAAGCGTTCTTACAAGGAGGCATAGATACCAGCAACACAGATAACTAATTGAAGCAGACCTGCATTCTCCGTCGAATGCGAATTGGCCGGCGGGGAAACTGTGGCTGGCCCTATCGAAGAACCGTTTGGACCTCTGGTCTGGACCTCTGGAAGATCTGGAGGACTCTGCATGATCCCCGAGGAGGGTATTCGCTGTAAGGGCGCCTTTTGCTTTTCACGGGCCATTGTAACAAGGAATGACTGCGCTCGAACAGCTGGGAAAATATCGAACTCGGACAACCGGCTGCCAGATTCTTCAGGATGACATGGCCATTGAAGAAGCAAAAGACGTTGTGAACACCAGCACAGGGCCTAGATGGAGGCAAAAGGAGCAAGCAGCAAATGAAGTGGCAGCATCCTGACTGGCTCGGGCACAGTAGTTGCTATTTATTTCGAAGCAACGGGGCGCTTTGAAGACGGGCTCCTTGACGATGACGATGTGGCCATCTGTTCTCTTCAGAATTAAGCAGTGCCGCTAGCGTGGCTTTAGTGAACCTTTAGCGGGGAACTCAATCTTGCGAACCTTGTTGCGGATCCGCCAAAAAAGCACGACGGGACCGCTTTCAGAGCTTGGAGGACGCAATCCCAAGCGCAGAAGAGTATGCGAAAGGGGGAAGATCGATTTCGAAATATGCTAAGTACCGTACGTTAACAGCGCCTTCGAACCATCCATCTCAGCCTTCGGGCGGCCGAAACTTCTCGCGATGCCTTCTACGCCATCTCCCTCCGCACTCACCTCCCTGATCTCCTCGAATTCCACAACCCAGCCTTCCAGCCCCGTCTCCGCCCTCAGTCTTCAGATCCTTCACAACCTCGAGCATCAGCACATTTGGAAATCTCTTCAACTCCACGAACCACACTCCCTTTCCCCGCAACAACACATCCCATTAATATCCGGCTATCCTCCGCAAACCATCTACACCCATCCCGACGAACAGGCATACCTGCTCGAGCATGATATCTGCTCCGAGGCCGTCCCCGTAGAAAGAGAATGGGTCATCCCCTGCGCTCAAGGCCAGTCGTGGAGCCTAAGGAAATTCGCCGGGGTGTTCGACTCACTGCCGAATAGAAGTGATGATATACCTGAGCATAAAGTAAGTGAGGGAAATCCCGCGGACGATAAGGTTTTCGAGTTTATCAGACGGAAAAGGGAGGAGCCGTGGGGAGGCAAAAGAGCTTTGCTGGCGATGGTGAATAGAGGGGGGGGTGGAGATGGGACTGTGGTTTATTATGTGATGCTGGAAGGCGACGTGAAACCGAGACAAAATTGAGTGAAGATGAGGTCGCTTCTGAGTTGAAGCCTGACTAGAAGAGCTGCAGGAAAGTGGCCTCGGATTTTCCAAGCCTTCACCTAGAATCCTCTCTCGGCACCTAGATATGGATGACAGGTACCTCTAGCAAGGGACCAGCCGCAATCGATGACCAGCAGGTCGCAAGTATCGAGCCGCAATCAATGTACGGAGTTAGTACGGCGGCATCGATGTGCTGCGGTCAATAATGCCCGCTATAGATCCCTGCTGGATGAACTGCCATGCAAGCAAAAATAAAAATCTATTCAAGGACTACTAAACGTATATCCATCGCTGCATAATCGCCACGCTTGCCCAAACACCAATCCGCACCTCCGGGTATCGTCATATCCAAGCAAATTTATAAATCAGGATGATTCCAAAGAGAGCAAACCGCGAGCACCTCCAATGCAATCGCTAACCAGATATATCCAAAATTCTTTTCTGCTCCTGTTCACAACTAAGGCAATAGTCCTTATACCAATTTTCGATGTCATCCTCTCTACCGGAGAACCGCTGTCTGACATCGTCCGCCCTATCCTTGTCTGGCTTGGTGCCACGATTGTTGAGCATGTTATCAACCATGTGACATCTTCGCGTTTCTTGTTGGATCCATCGCTCCCATTCAGCTCGGATGACCTCCTTTTCAATGCTATTAATGACCTTTAATGCTACGAGAAGATCGTGACGGTATGTGCCAAGCCTCTGTCGCGTACGCTGTAGGCGATATGCAACACTGTTTCCTCTCTTGGCTGCATCGGCCGGAACAAGTCGGCCTTCATTCGTCGCATAGAGGTTACTCTCCTGGAATACCGAGAAGCTAGATAAAACATCAGAAACTTGGATCTCAACGATTGCTAGTGACCCAGGAATCTAGGCAGCTTACCAAGAACTTGAATTAGACAAGTTGAAACCTCCCACATTGATGATCGCGTCATCAATATCTTTGATATACACTGCCTTTGTAAGAACGGTGTTTGGTCGAACTCCCAAGCGCGCCATAAAATTGCCGGCGTTTCGCTCGTGCCACCAGTCAAATGTGTCGCGGTACGAGTGAAACCCATTTAAGATAGCGCTGCAAATCAGTAATGATAGAATCACTTGATTTGCCTTGAATGTCTTCCATATCCAGCGGAGAACAGCCCAAAACCAGATTAACAACGTAGAGACTGCACTCTGCAAAAACGAACCAGACGTCTCAAGGAGAAGCGGTAGAAGGCCGCTTTGCCTCAGTGGACGGCGTAGTTGTGATCTCGGATTTAGTGCCAGAGAATCCGATGTGAGCTTAAATGCTTGGGCTTCCTGGCCAATATTCCCAAAGATCGAAATTGCTTTTTTCGTCGTGTGATGGTGGCCCAATTTCTTCACTTGATCAGAAGCGAGATCAATTAGATCAAGGGCATCCTGTTCCAGATCCTTCATCGCCTCTCGTTCGATGACAGCTGATCCGAGTTAGCGACGAATGTTATAAACTTTAGTGGGGTGTAGAGAAAAGGCCTACATTTAAACAAGTACGGCTCAGATAGCCACTCCACTTTTGTAAATAGAGCGAGTTTACACCTCGACTTCGCAACGTGCGTTATCACGACTTTGCTGACTAGTTGAAACTGTCCTTTGAAAGGAAGATGCCATGGGGTTCGTTTATCGGTTACAACATAGCACAGATGGTCGTTGAGAACGTCCACAATCTGGTAGTCGGACACATGGGTGAGATTAGGCCTTCCTGTTTATCGCATGTTAGTGTGATCAAGCCCGCATCATGACCTGAGTTGACTCACCAAAAAAGTCCGCCACTTCAATCTGATACCCGAAGTGGCGCCTCATGTACGCGGTTTCAGCATTTGACCAAACACTCTGCTCGATGTCTTTGGTACACGAGATTTAGCTTATGCCCACTAAATTTGATAGGCGTGTATGAACTTACTTTGAGCTCTTCGCTGAAGCTGAAGAAATTGCCAAACAGGACTTTTATCCCCAAATATAACATGAAAAAGTGCCTTCGGACCGACATCAAAATATTTTTCTGCCGTAGGATGTAGTTGACCTTGTGGGATGTATTCGACGGGTTGCAAAGGCAACCTAAACCGAACCCCGTCCGCATTGTTCCTCGAGTCACCTTTGCCTATATCGAGGCCTTTCTCGACGTAGAGTCCGAGCTTCAGCAACTTTTCAGGTTTCCGAATGCCGGAGCCACTCATTGCTTCTGTGGAGGTACTCAAGTTGACATCATCCCAACTCTCCACGCTCGCACGTCGCGTTGGCCCTTCATGTTCCATTCTGATGAGTGTTTTAAGGACAGTCTCCAAACTAGCCGGTTCTTCGGAAGTTGCGTTATTAACAAGAAAGTTCAACCGTCGTCGAAGTAGTTTTAAGGGCTCTAGGAACGTTTTGATAGTCAGACGTCCGGGAATATCGCTTCCTTTTTCGGGGATTATATGCAAATAGAGAAAATCGCAATCTCTGCCAGAGGCAGCGGTCACTTCAGATATGCTGCAGAGGTTCGCAGAAGACGTTAACACTAATCCGAAATAGTTGCTGTAAAAGTAGAGGTTTTTTGTTGTCGTATATACTCGACCAGGAAAATCATGCTGGTCACTCGGACTAAAAGTTGCTCTAAACACGAGAACAAGGGGCTCGTCTTTTGGCACCTCTGGAAACAAGAGGCGAAACTGAGCGTCTTGCGGTTTTAAAAGAGAGGGATAATAATTCGGATATTCATGCCGCGTGGGTTGGGGTTTGTCGTGGAAGCTGCCGGTATCTCCCAGGCTAATGGTCTGTCTGTGGCGACTCAGAGTTGAATGGATCGTCGGTGTTGAAGGATCTTTTGAGATTCCGTCAAATATCTATTAATTCTATTAGGTTGAGGGCAAGCGAAGGACCTGAAGGCAATAATAACATACCTTGGGTTCGTCCGTCCCACTTGCTGGCTGTGGTGGGCACGGCTCACGTTCCAACCTGTTGATCAAAGCCCAATTTGAGGTTCCCCATAGATTCGCCATCATTCCACTGGGGACATTTCCCGTGCTGTCTGAGAGACCGAGGCCAATTCCTCTCTCAACACTAACAGATACTGCCGCCCTGCTCATGTTCGTGGGAGTCGGGGGACTCACCAACGTGGCGGGAGCAAGGGTTGTTGAAGGTACGTCGCGGAGTGGGAATGCACCCACAATTTTGGCATTCATATTCTCATTTTCCGCGTTATTACCTGATGCCGAAGGTATCAAGGGGTTGCTTCCTGATAGCAAACCGGCAATTCCAGAGCCTCGCTGAGGAGATGCATTCCCGGTATGAGATGCGGTGTTACCTTTTCTATGAATATCAAACTTTTGCATAATTCTAGGGGTATGATCACGGGCGCCATCCCCATCCCTGTCAAATGCAGTGGAGCATCGTGGGTGCGCAAATTCACCACTATTGCGAACCGCCAAAACGTCTCGATCAACAGGCAGTGTAGCACTTCTTTCACTACCCACATGCTCATCATTGGCATTAGGGGTCAGTGAGTCGGAAATATCCGCAGTGAACTCTGGAGCCGGGGGTTGGGATATTGCAAATGCTGGATCCTGAGGTGAAGCTTTTGTCGAGGGGAGAAATTCTTGACTTGGATTTTCAAGAGCCTTCCGTTTCGCAGCCTCGAATGAGCCGATCCATTCAGTAAGTTCCTTTTGCGTTTCCGCCTGCAGCATTATGGTGTTACTCTTTGTTTTCACTTCAAAGCAAAAGCGGCGCTCTTCTTGAAACGCTGGTCGAATGCTACATAGGAGGACCCCGATTCGCTCACTCTCTTCCACTCCCCCCGTTCGAGAACCTTGAACTAGGCAGCCAAATATACCGTTCTTTAGAAAGGCCCAACGTCGTACCCAAACGGTCCTCGTGGGCTTGCCGGTCAAAATCCTCAAGCTAAGCCATCCCTGCTTTTCCGGTGAGAATGTGTGGTCCTTTGCCATCTTAGTAAGTGAGGCGGTTCCTTGAGAACCAAGATATGGCACTGTTGATACTGAGTAATCGTCCAACTCGCGAGATGGGCGCGCTGCATACTCGGCGGCATCCTCAATCTGTTTCCTTGCCGCCATAATTTCACGACGAGACGATTTTTCACTTATTTCCATCTCCTGGGTCCAGCCCTTGATACGTTCCATATCTTTACCGTGTTTTGCAAAGAGTGACAAGCTATTATCCCCTGTGACTTTGAGCTCCCGCCACTGCCCGAACGATATTTGGACGAGCAACTTCTCCAGCGTAACTTTCAGCTGCGGGGATTGTATGCAAAAGTCCATGGAAGCCTTTAGATAGGCTTTCCTCGCCTCATGAAGCTGGAATGCATCTTCTCGTAAGGAGGACGGCTCTTTCGATTTAGTCTGGGCAGCGTATCTGGCCTGCAGATGATCATACTGCTTCTGGGTCTGGTCGAGGATACGGCGAGTTTCCTGTGGTCATTTCTCTTAATATCTTCCCATATGGAAGAAATTCCATGAAGCGACCAACCTTAAATGCCCGGAGGTCTCCTTGCACAAACGAGCGAATCGGGTCATTGACCAACGAATCGCATTTTTTAAGGGTCGAAACCACCCCGGACCAGAAATCCTTGACGCTTTCCCCATATTTCTTCACTGCAAACAAGCAATAGTCATGGTCCAAGATCGCCTCCGAAACGTTGAGCGGAGAGTTAATATGGAACACGAAGGAATTGGTGATGGCTTCCAGAGTAGAAAGCTCCGAAGTGAGCTTCCCTGTGGCCTTCATATACCCTTCCAGCCATTTCTCGACGTAATCAATCTGGTCACAAAAATGTAGGGTTGTAGAGCGGAACGTAGGAGAATCGAGGGCAGCTTCTTTCAGGCCGACAGGTCTAGGCATTTTGAAGCCAAGGGGTGAGAAAGGAGACATAACACAAGGATCGGGCTAAAGCTTTTAACATAGAAAAACCTACATGACGTTGACAAGCTTCCCAACCTGGGGGACTGACGAATGTGGAGCTGAAGACATTTATCCATACACCATATCCCGAGTCTCTAAGAAAGTATGAAAGATGCAAAAAGGGAGAAAAACGAAGAGGTGTTAAATGCGTCGGGAAATAAGATATCCGAGGTAGAACAAACCAAACGCCCGAAAAATTAAAATGCACCAGGAAAATGCCCGCTCCTGAGTTTGGATAGGGATGACGCTGGCGATGAAGCTTCGGCCTCCTCCCTCCTGCTGCTTCTGGCTCGACCGCCGAGTCTGCTTAGTCACGTTGGCAGCTCGGACGAAAAGCGCTGATTGGCCTTGCGGCGTGATTAAGCTCCGGTCAAGGAAAAGCCAAAATGTTTTCAGCGCCCACAAGAGCGATTCAACGGGAACGACGACACGGCCTCCTGCGCAGGGACAGAAGAGAAAAGAGCCTCTTTGGAGGTTTGTTGTGGTCGTTCTTCAACTTCCACCCAAGGGACGCCGGAGTGCAAATTGCGCATCGGGATTAATTGACTAGTTAGTTACAGCTGCTGTGCTGACAAAGAGTGCAGGGCAAGTTGGCAATTGGCTAGGAAGAACGACTTTTTTTTTTTTCCTCCCCTCCGCGCAAGTCTCGCCTGTTTCTCGGTGTATCGAAGATGGAGCTGGAGCCACCGACGAAGAAACAGAAGAAGCTACTTCTGAGTGACAGCTCGGATGATGAAAGTGCAGATGAAGGAGTGAACCTTCCCGGCGGCGAAAGTTTCAAGATCAATGCAGAGTACGCGCGACGGTTTGAACATAATAAGAAGCGAGAGGAGCTCCAAAAGTGTATGTATACTTGAACAGTAGTATGCCCAAAGGGACAAGGAGCGTCGCTAACAGTGTCGTTCAGTGGAAGAAAAGCTAGGAAAGTCGAACGCTTTCGGGAAGAAGCAGAGGTCTACCAAAGAAGAGGACGAAAGCGGCGAGTCCGAAGAATCATCTGAATCAGAAACTGAGGACGACGAGGCAGAATTGGTCACGGAGGCCGTCGATTCGGAAATTCTGGCCACGATCAAAGCGATTCGCACCAAAGATCCACGAGTCTATGACGAGAATGCAGTCTTTTACACGGCCCTCGATACAGAGAATGCCCCAGCGCGCCAAAAGGAGGAAAAGCCCATGTACCTACGAGATTATCACCGCGAGAATCTATTGAGAGGTGCAAATGGCACTGATAACGAAGCGGATGCACCCAAGACGTACGTCGAAGAACAGGAGGAGCTAAAGCGTACTGTTGTGAAAGAGATGCATGCTGCTGTTGATGGTGATGCCGAGCCTAGCGGAGAGGAGAACAGTGATGGTGATGACGGATTTCTTGTTCGCAAGTCGAAGCCAGAGACCGAATCTACAGGAAGGAAGCCAATTACGGAGGAGGATGTCGCTGCCGCCGACAAAGATCCAGACACGTTCCTGTCTAATTTCATGGCGTCCCGGGCGTGGATCCCGAGTGCAAGATCTAATCTCCAGCCGCTTGAGTCAGATGACGATGAGGAAGAAGCAAGAGCTGAGGCCTTCGAGGAAGCATATAATCTGCGCTTCGAGGATCCCAATAAACTCAATGAGGCCCTAGTCACCCATGCTCGAGATACGACGTCGAAATTTTCTGTTCGAAGAGAAGAGCCAAGTGGCCGAAAGCGCAAGAGAGAGGTAGAGCGTTTGAAGAAAGAGGAAGAAAAGAAACAACGCGACGAAGAACGTGCGCGGTTGCGTAAACTGAAAATTGAAGAACTAGAAGAGCAGGTTGAGAAAATCAAGAAAGCTGCGGGAATCCGAGCCGGTGATATCAGAGACGAAGATTGGGCACGTTTCCTTGATGATGATAAATGGGACGATAAGAAATGGGAAGAAGAAATGGCCAAACGGTTTGGCGAGGAGTACTATGCTGAGGAAGACCCGGGCGACGATGACGACAATGGCGAAGGGAAATCCAAAAAGCAGCGGTTGAAGAAGCCCACATGGGACGATGACATTGACATCAAGGACATAGTCCCGGACTTTGAAGATGAAGACGAAGAAGCCGAGTTTGGTCCGTCGGATGCTGACGAGGCCGAGGGGCAAAAGAGCAGTAAAAAGAAACAGCTCCAGGACAAGAAGAAGAAGCAAAAAGAAGCAAAACGCGAACGCAGAAAGATCGAACAAATCGTCGACCAGAACCTCAACCTCGAGCCGGCATTACTCCCGGGCTCGTCTAAAAAATTCTCTGGTACTTTCCGCTACAGAGAAACTTCGCCTCTGAGTTTCGGGCTTACGGCTCGCGATATCCTCATGGCGGACGACAGCCAGCTGAATCAATTTGCCGGATTGAAGAAGCTTGCAGCCTTCCGTCCACCTGAAAAGAAGCAGCGAGATCAGAAGAAGTTGGGGAAGAAAGCAAGGCTTCGACAATGGCGAAAGGATACGTTTGGCGATGAGAATGAACCACAGATGAGGATAGCTGAGCCAGAGGCGGAAGCTTCTAACAAAGCGGCGGCAGATGCTGAGATGAGCGTTGATATCCGAGTTGGGGAAAAGAAGAAGAGAAAGAGGTCCAAGAAACATTGAGATGCCAGCATCAAACTGGCGGCCTTCAACCACACATAACGCACACCAAAAAAAAAAAAAAAAGAAAATAAGGTAAAAATTAAGATAAAATAAAATACCAGCGCCAATTATTTCTACGTGTTGAATAAGTGTTATTCCCAACACGAATAGGTCATACAAAGTCCAAGGCCAAGTAGTCAGGTTAACGACTCTGTACATAAACATGTAGAAGCGTGGTGCTCCGTATGCGACCTTTGATAAAATTCCAGAGCAACGCACAACAGTTCGCGCGGTCACACTCAAAGGCATTGTGGGGTTGAAAATTTATGCTTCTGGAATGGTTCCTCAGTCTCGGCTTGTGAGCGAAGAGCGCAGTTAACCGAGCTATTTTCGGACTAAGGACCAATCGCCGGTATGGGGTTATGAGAGTACCAGGCAAGCTTAGCTTCAGGGCTCCGTTTTCTCCTCCTTTTTTGCCGACGGCATTCGAAGCCAAAATCTCAGGAACGGGAGGCAAACCCACGAGGGAGAGAGGAAAAATTGTTTCCATCTTCAACTGGACAGCAAATCACAGGCGAGCAATTCGGTGGAGCATGGGAGCAGTTACAGACGAGCGGCGATCTGGTGGTTGCTGGGTGGCTGTTCGGGAGATGTCGGCTACGCTGGCCGCCGGGCCCAAAGCGGTTTAGCGCAGGCTAATTTTTTCGTCGCTCGCCCAAAATACCAAATTTTTTCATTATTTCTTCTCCTTCTTCCTCTCTTCTCTTCCTCTTCTCCTCCTTTTCCTCCAGCTCTCTTCCCTCCTCATCTTCACGCCGTCTGTGCAGACATCCTCTTTCGCTCGCACCCCACACTCTCCCCTCCTTTCTTTACTTTAGCTAGTACAGAAAATAACAAAAGCAGAAAAAATGGCTGCTAAGGATGTTACCCAGAAGGACAAGTCGGTCCTGGGCATGCCCGTAAGTACCCTTTGATATTCCATCGAAAGACCCGAAAATACGTCCTCTACACTGTCAATGGAGCATACCTCCTTCGGCAGGCTGGGTGTTCGGACGCCAATTGATGGTTGGATGCCCGGAAACTTGGGGTTCTCGCTGATTTGCGATCATATCTGGCTTATGTCTGGTGCTAACTAATGCGTTTCGTACCTGCAGGGATTCGTTGTCGACTTCATGAGTATGTCTTGTCCACTAAACGCCTCGATCGTGGTGATCATATCGGTGTCACGATCAAAAGGGCGATTTAAAAAAAAAATTTTCCTTTTTTTTTTTTTTTTTTTTGGGTCGCCTCCGGATGGATTGACTGACGATTGCTTGCAGTGGGTGGTGTCTCTGCCGCCGTCTCCAAGACCGCTGCCGCTCCTATCGAGCGTATCAAGCTCTTGATCCAGAACCAGGTATGGTGGACCATCTTTACACCGCACGCGCAGACCTCGTCGAGATTCGATCGGCTCAGATCCAATGATGGCCCGGTTGATCGACTTGATGGCATATCTACGCGCTCAAAGTATGCACAGTTTATTAACGGTTCCCGACCCTCTAGGATGAGATGTTGAAAACCGGCCGCCTTGACCGCAAATACAATGGCATCGTCGACTGCTTCCGTCGCACTGCCCAGGCTGAGGGTGTCGTCTCCCTCTGGAGAGGTAACACTGCCAACGTCATCCGTTACTTCCCTACCCAGGCCCTCAACTTCGCTTTCCGTGATACCTACAAGTCCATGTTCGCCTTCAAGAAGGATCGTGATGGCTATGCCAAGTGGATGATGGGTAACCTTGCCTCTGGTGGTGTAAGTGCTCATGCGTGGCCGGACTAAGCAAACAGGACGCTGACCGAAGGTTTTTAACAGGCTGCTGGTGCCACTTCTCTCCTCTTCGTCTACTCTCTTGACTATGCCCGTACTCGTCTTGCCAACGACGCCAAGTCCGCCAAGAAGGGTGGTGAGCGTCAGTTCAACGGCTTGGTCGACGTCTACAAGAAGACCCTCGCCTCTGACGGTGTTGTCGGTCTCTACCGTGGTTTCGGTCCCTCCGTCCTTGGTATCGTCGTCTACCGTGGTCTCTACTTCGGTATGTACGACTCCATCAAGCCAGTTCTCCTCGTCGGTCCTCTTGAGGGCAGCTTCCTTGCCTCCTTCTTGCTCGGCTGGACTGTCACCACTGGTGCTGGTATTGCTTCTTATCCTCTTGACACCATCCGTCGCCGTATGATGATGACTTCTGGTGAGGTAAGTATCGAATTGCCCCGTCTGTTCTGGCTCCTCCAGTGGCTCACCCAAATGTTTCACAGGCCGTTAAGTACTCTTCCTCTTTGGATGCTGCTCGTCAAATCGCTGCTAAGGAGGGTGTCCGATCCTTCTTCAAGGGTGCTGGCGCTAACATCCTCCGTGGTGTCGCTGGTGCTGGTGTGCTCTCCATCTACGACCAGGTTCAGCTCCTCTTGTTCGGCAAGGCCTACAAGGGTGGCTCTGGCTAAGCGGTTCACGGAGTTACTCCCGGGGATGTGTCATTGAGGGGCGTGTCGGTGGTTGAGAGATGAGGAAGCAGGTTTGGAGGAGAGCATAGATGTGCGTCAAAAGAATGGTTAATTCTGGAGCATAGAGCAATCAGGGTCGTTTTCTCCTTCTTGCCTGCCTGTACTTTACTGCCTGCGAGCTTACTTTTTTTTCCTTTTTTTTTCCCTTGTTTTCACCATCCGATTGTGCAAATGTGTTGTCATTCAATTCCCTCCAATTTCTCTCGTGTACTGCTGGCTGGATAGAAAATGTGATTGTGTTGCTTCAACTGTTGACCCGCTAGGCCGCCCATCCATCATCTTCTGCGGTGTCGTGACGAGAGCAAACCTTCCAAGATCGCCATCCGTCACGTGTATATAAGCTTTCGGGCGGCGAACTCTCTGGTTCGGTACAGGGCCGTTGCCATGACGAGTAATAAAATTATTGAGCTCGAGCTGACAACTCTGACTTTGAATCACAAGGTTGTCTCTTAGATGTTTGTTATCCCTTTCCGGGTTCCCAGAGCAATGGAGGCTGAATCAACGGCTCCGCGAAAGGAACCAGCGGCCGATAATATCAAAAATGTCATCCCCGTTCAAAACATGGCGGATAGCTCTTTGGCTGCCATGACGCGGGATGGGCCAGTGCAGCACTCGTTACCCACAGGAGAAGTTTCAACGGACACTGGGCAACCTCGGGACGCTGACAAGTCGCCCCAGTCCGTGCCGGCGAAGCCTCCAACGATAGAGAATAAAGCGCAACCAGCGCGAACAGCGCGAACGAGAGGATCAGACAAAGATGAACAAACCTCCCGTCCTCCCCAAGCAGAGAATGACAGCCACAATGCTTGCCAACGCCAAAATTCACACCTAAATCCCACGGATCGATATCGCCCGAATCCTGCTCCTCTACCGACGTCTACATCTACAAAACCACATTCCACACAGCCACCACCACCGCCGCCGCCGCCGCCGAAATCACAACAACACATGTCTATTCCCCCCTTGATCCCCCAAGCAGAAAGGCACAACCTCGAACATCCCCCCGGCTACATCCAAAACTCCGCCGCCATCTCCCTCCCCCCACCACCACCTCCTCCACAGCCCCCAACGCCTTCCTCCACCGGCCACTGGTACTGGTCCGACGCACCCAACCTCTCCGGTGGCAGATACGTCTACTCTGCATCGTGCTCTCCGGCCCCCATCCCGTCGCCGTATCCGGGGACGTCTGCGGAAACGTCGCTGGCTTCGCGCGCGGCGCATAGGTACGATTTGTCTGAGAATGATCAGTTTGGGAACGGGGGAGCGGGGAATGCTGGTTATGAATGGGGGGAATGGGCGTGGGAGGGAGCGAAGAATTGGGGACGGGCGATGGGGAATCGGCTGGCGGAGGCGGAGGAGGGGGTGTGGAGGTGGGTGAATCGGAAGGTGTGAGAGGTTTTTTTTTTTTTTTTTTTCCCTGGGTGGTCGCTTGGTTATAATACCTGCTACCCGTTCGAATATTTCAACGGCATGCTTGCGAGGTTAGGGCGGGCTTATTTTGTTTTGTCTTTCTGGCTTGGCCATAAATACGGAGCATCTTGCGGGAATGTATTTTTTGGACGGGAATTTCCTCTTTTCTCAGGAAATGTAGCTACATAAAATACTCCTGGTGGATGTACCTTGTTATTATGTATAGTACGGACATACACACGGCGCCCCATTCTGCACTGACGGGGGTTACGATTATGCAGTCACATACCCCGTCTGCCATGATGTGTTCTGAGACTGAACATCCTCGATGGGAGAAACCACGTATATTCACTGGATTTTCCCGGTGCTATTTTCCATTTCGTCCAGCAAAGGAACAAAAAAAAAAGAAAAAAAAGAGAGATCTTCATGAGGCCGCCCTCTTGACCCCGAGCGGTTCAGTGGATTGGGAGCCGGAGGAGGGGGAAAAATCGATCCGAGGCGTCGGATAACCCGACCACTCCACAAGATCCCGTCGTCGTCCCTCCTCCCAGGGTGGTCAATGGTTACGCTCATGGCTGCCAGCCTTTACGAGGTACATGATCCGTGATGTTGTTTGCGGGGTGCAGTCAGCAGGACGATACAGATGACCAGTCGCCAAGTTCGCCAGCCGCATCGATCCGCCACTCGCGAAAATAAGGCCCTCAAGGGAGGGGGGCCCCCACTTGGAAGGTCGACTAAATTCAAACGACCAGAGCTCACTAAATGATTTGGAACAGAAGACTCTTCGGATATTCATCATCGTTATAGGAACTGCCTCTACTTTAGTGCAATACAACTAAGATGACCAAAGCAAAAAAAAGCAGTAAAAGGGCAGGGAAATGGATGCAGAGCACATAGAGCACACATAGGACATGTTCACCACCTAGTGCAGTACAGTAAAGATGACCAAGCAGGCAAACACGTAGTACAATGTACGCAGCATACTTTTTCCATCTCAGATATTTCCCAATCCCCAGTAACTATCGATGCAGCTCCAAGCTAATGAGGCCTGCAGCCTGCCACAAACAAAAGTATTAAGGTATGATATCAATGCAAAAGAAAACGCAGCTATTAAAAGGGAATATGAGGTAGTCTGCCAGAGGAGCATATAAAACAAATGGCCAAAAAAAGTTGTTGAAAGCCTTCCAAAAATATTGGCCAAAGGCTCCATCAGGGAAAAGTGAGATTAAAAACAAGTATGTAATTCGGTTGCAATCAATGCTCGCTCAAACGAAAAGTAGGCTTGTCAATTGCCTGAGTGGAGAGTGGTCGGGCATAACGTCATATCCACAAAAGAAAACGAAACCTGGGCATGAGACAGCAGTTGGATATCTTAAGACGGCTTCTCCTATGAAAGCCGAGTGGAAATAAATGTACAGAGTATCTGATCCTGGGGTATGTATGCACCAAAAAAAAAAAAAAAAAAAAAAAAAAAAAAAAAAAAAAGAGAACAAAATAACGAAACGCCATGATACCATGGCCAGATGATGGTTTGCTATTCGTTTCCGTCATCTCCCACGACTCTCCTGGACGTTCGTGAGGCTAGATATTTCTGTTGTGATTTATCGCGAATCGAATTGAACCGAATGTCGGGCTTCGTAAAAAAGGAAAGCGATGGCGGTAAGGTAAAGAGAGGTATACCAATGGATTGACGGTTTGTCGCAGGTGTCTTCGGTCCAGCCAAAACATTCAACGAGCAACAAAAAAACCTTAAATAGTTCGTTGATCCCAAGGAAAATCGAAAATGAGTAATTAAACGCCAATTCCCCGTTTTCCCAATTTTACATGGAACCCATCTGCAAAAGCGCTTCGACCGCAGCGCGTTCCTCAAAATTACCGCCGACGCCGTCTGAGTAAGAAAAGTCAAGATTCTGGATAGGAATTGGGCCCGGTGGGGATTTCGTGAGCGTCGACCACGCTGGTCCTCCACCGGAGCCTCCTTTCGACCTTTTCGAAAAATAATTATATGAGTTCTGTCCGCCCTCAGAGCCATTAGGCAAAAATCTCGCTCTGAGGGCGGCAGCTCCAATCTGTTCCCAATCTTCTTCGTCCGTGGCGTCTGCCTCGTCCCAGTCGCCATGCATGAGAGAGTCGTCGTCCGAAGCCTGCGTCGACGAGCAATACGCTCGGTCATCTCCATCTAGAGACATTCTATCCACTTCATCAAACATACTGTGGTCCGTTCTGTCGCCGTATCCCCATTCAGAATGGGAGAACACGGCTGAGTCTGCAGCAAATGATGAACCATACTGGTCTTGGTCGTCCTTCATAGCCAGACCAGCTGAGCCACGGGACAGTCCACGGGAATGAGAATGAGAAAATTCGGTGCAAGGCGACGAGGCGCCAGGGATACGTCGTTTGACGGGATCCTGTCCGCGCCGTTTGGCATCCCATCGACCCCATCCAACCTTTTCAAACTCCACGGCGCCATGTATTCCTCCAGTCTCTCCGTTTCCACCTTTGCCTTCCAGGGCTGCGACGACCAGACGTCGAGCTTTCGCCGGGGGAATCGAAGAGAACCCAGGAAGCGAGGTAGTCAGATAGCCCATGATATGACGTATTGCCAGAGGTCCGTTGCTCAGCATGATATCCGGAAGGTGGTATTTCGCTAGCATCGCTGGCGTGATCGCCTCGGCATTATCCAAAGAATCCAAGGCGTCAGGAACCAACCTGTGGGTGGGTTTCTGGAGGTCGACGGTGTCGTGAAGGTCGATATCCGACTCGACGTGTTCGGAAATGAACGGTGGAGAGTCTGGAGTGTTCATTATGCGATGCTTGAAGCCGTGGGAGCGGAAGGAAGGAGAGATGGAGCTGGGAGGCGTGGGCAACATGGCCGACTGAAGATGCTGGGGGCCCATACCGGCCCTGTCAGGGTAAGGACGACGCGTATCATGGGATTTGGGGATGTCGACGGATGCCGTCTTGCCAGCGAGGGCAATGGAGATGTTGGAAGTAGCTGGACGAAGCGCCATGATTGCAAAATCGAGTTGGGAAGATACTGGATCGTGGGTGAAGATGAGTCAGTACGGAAGTACAAAAAAAGATAAAGGAACAGGAGGAGTATTCAGGTCGGATGAAAGTGAAGAGGATAATTCTCACGTCAGGTAAGACTATCCGCAAGGCCGTCTGAGGGTCCGACAGATTTTAAAACGGTCGATAATTCGAATGCCAACCGAGCAGGATGGGCAGCCCAGACAGCAGCTGAAGAACAGGGCGTGTTCGTGCGGTCGCGTTTTTGGGGTGGTGGTGGCCACAGCACGTCAGGGGGGTCGACCAACAAGAAGTAGGAGACGGGACTGGCGAAGCAGGAGACAAGAGGGAAACAGAGCGACTGGTCTTTGGTTATAAAGAAGTGGAAATTCCGGCGATGAGAGCGTGTGTTGCAGTTGTGGTTGGATGCTGGGCTGAATGAACGAAGTGATTTGACTGAGTGACTGGCTGATCGATGCTGCGACGGGCGTGTTTGTAACTCCGGCGCTCCTCGCCCTTCCAGGGTACTTTGTGTCTTGTATCCCCGTAACAAAATTGGGGAAGAATGACGCTTGCCAATCACCCGCGGAGGTACCGGCTAGGCCCGATGCGGCCTACTGCGGCGACCCAGCGCCCCACGTGATGGGCTGGGTGGCTGTATTTTACGCTGCGTGCCTTGCTATTTAGGGTTAGGGTGGGTACACGATACAGGTACCTTGGAACCCGTTACATGGCTTACCATACATGACCACTAGTCACGCCCCCGTACATCGTCTCCGGCGCACGAAGTACCAGTGACATCTTCACGATGCGCTTCTCTTTGGGCTGACCCCCCGCGTCGCTGCAATGGTTCACTGGACAAAGCCAGCACTAGCTGCTTTGCTGTTTTACAATCCAACAAGGCACAGTCAAACCAGGAAAAATAAAATCATCGCCCGAATTACCGAAAACAAATCTGTAGGTGCCAGGCAATTGACCAGGTACCGACGGAACATCTGGTGCACATGTACGTAATGGTGCCTTCATCATCGCCGGGGTATTGTGGAACAGCACGATAACCTACCGACTGCTCCAGAACCCGCAGACAATGAGGCCTGTCCAAGGTGCCCTGGGCTCTCGCGGTAAATCAGGTGTCCCCATGTGCGCCTACGACTCGCTGGGATCGCATCAAGCAAGAGCGCATCCGTGAAACGGACGACGAACATGCTGTAGACCAATGAAACATGCGGATGTGCTGCATATGGGATCGCAGTGTACGTACAGAGCCTCTCGAATGCATTTCTCCGTGCGTTGCATTTACAAATTCTTCCGGCACGCATCCTGCTCTGCATGGATGAGGTGGGCACTCCATGACCTAAGACACCTAAGACACGAAAGTCCGGCGAAGACCGGCTGGCCGTCGTTCTTGGACAAACCGAGATACCGAGAACCGGATAAGAGAGCGAGCGAGGAAGAGAGAGAGAGAGAAATAGAGAGATAAAGCCTGGTGAGAGAACCCACAACGGGCATCCTATTGCGTCAGATCCTCACCAGTGCAGATAAAAGTGGTTTTGAGTAACTTTTCCCCCAAAATAGAACTGCTTCTTGTCCTATGCGCGATGGCAACGACGTAATTGGCCCACCACCACCAACAACAAAGTTAACTGTCCAAGGAAGTTTGCGAGACGCGACAAACCTGAATTTCTGATCTGCGCGGGTACCTGGAGGCTTGACGGGTACCAGGTACAACCGACACCCAAATTTACAACTCCGTCCCTCCCAACTGAGGGGTACAGGATTGTCTCGGGTCTTCGTGCTCGCTACTTACCTGTGCACGGGCTGCCGGCGGGCACGCCCCCGAAAACCCCTCACGAAAAGTGTTATGTTGCCATCGCAGCATTCAGTTACATTTCTCCCAACCTCCTCCCCCTCCTCCCTGTGGCCTTGACCAGGCAGAATCAAGAAGCGATCGCACGAGCGGATAAAACATGCAGTTCGCGACTTAGTTTATGCAGCCAGCCCTATAGTCTATTGGAGAACATCGTCATCCAATCTCGCCTGATTGAGTGGCCGGCATGCAATGTGTTCCATCCGCGCACGTCAATCGCCTCAGTGGCTTGAGCTGTCATTTCCCGTGTTGTTGAGCAGAGCCTTTGCAGGCGATCCACGCAAGCAACACGTCGAACCCGCCCTGTCTCAGGTGTCTTTTCTCTCCCAATTGTTTAGGTAGGTGTCCAAAGCCATGGATGGCATCATAAATTTCGTGCAAACTGTTAGGTGCTGAGGCGGACCTATGTTTTCTCTCCTCCCGCTGGATTTGGAAATCCCGGGGAGAGCGTATCATCGATCTTCCTCCTGCATGAATGGGTTTCGTCGCATAATGCGGAGAAAACAGGATTGGAGGACAGAGTCTATCTGGAGTGTTCATTCTGAAGCGGAAGATTGTCGATCACTTGAGAAAGCGTCAATATTCGACTGGTCGGATATGACCTTGGAAATTCCCCGCTGAAATACCTACAGCGCTCTGACACCCAAACTATCAATTTCAGGACTTTGCCGGCGCTTTGATGCCATTCGGCATGGAGTATGGATGCTCCTCTCTGGGTGTTTCTTTCTCCTTCTGTTCAAAGCCATTGGCAGAAGAGACATTATGGGCTTTTTCTGCTAGATGTTGATGGGAGAACTTAGCCAGTGATACCTGCACATATCGTGTGCTTTGTTGCCCCTAGTTGAAGAGCATGAGTTATTCAGCTACTCTCTTGAGTACCAAGAACGGTAAATACTCTTTTGGGCAAATAAGCTGCGATTGTTTTCTTTTCTTTGGGCCTTTGTTCCTATTGTTAGAAGTTCTGTTAAACTCCCTTTGACCCAAGGACTTTTATAACTGAGAACGTCAGTGCCCTTATCATTATCTTGACACCAGGGTGATGCTGTGCGCACACCCCATCATAGCAACTTCTTGCAAAAAGTGGTTGCCGCGGCGCCGTCTGCTTCAACACAAAACTACTCATGGAAGTGAACTCCTCCATGTGTCATGTTTTGATGTTCTGATGTCCTGGTTGAATCATGCCTTGGTTATTATCCATCTTTGACCAGTCTGGACGCGAGTCCGGACCAGTGGGTTCTAGTCTGGTGGATGCAATGCCGATACTAATAACCCAAGCTCTTGATCTTGTAGCGAGGACTATCACATCCATACTTGAAGCAGGTGGTCATAGGCATGGATTCATTGGGGTTTACGCTGTTACCCTCCTGGGAGGAAATAGGGAGACAAATGTATCCATATTATCTGTCCCCAATGTCTTTCCCGACCCGAAATATTTGTTGTGTACATCAACAGCTAACACGAATCAACATGTAGGATGCTGATCTAATTGTGGACACACTCCCAGCCATGATTCAAACAGAACTCCTGAGGGAGGATGGGCGATTTCAACTGAAGGGTTCAAATAAACTCATCTTTGTCCTAGTATGCAACCATCCATTTCACACAATGTCATGAAAATTATTAAATCATATACAGGGCGAATATTCAGGCATTGAACCCATAAATGTCAAAATCCTACAAGGAGGTGCTGATCAGCAAACTGATGTGATTCACATTGCACCATCCGCAGTTCAAGCAGTCCGGACCAGCTCTAAGAGTAGGTCTTCTGATGCTCAGTTGCATAAGACAAAATAACATTCTAACACCAATCATAGTTCCGATCCTCCACCCTAGCGCCCTCCTGCTCACAAAAGTGAGAGATGGATGCTCGATGTTCAATCCACCCGTCCCATGACTCAAGCCAGGGCTCACGATGACCAGCCTGACATGGAAGCTGCCCTGCGGTGGCTGGTGTCCAAAAAGACTGCGCATAGACTTCGACCTGTATCCCGAGAAACCGAAGGAACATTTGATTCCTGGGCTGAAGCTACTTTACGCGAAGAGTGAGCTGGCGGGATATCTGCTGAAGGACGCCATGTATCGGGAGGCTTTTGCAAGGTTATTTAAGCCTTCTGATAACAAATAGTGCGGCAGACGATGGCTGCTGGCCTTGGCACGATATTGAATGAAATGTGGACTTGGGATGGGGGTTGATTGGTTGGTTTGATAGTCCCCTCTTTGTGAAAAGGCACTGCGCAGGAGAGGGGGATACATGTGACTGACATATGTCCCAGAGATTCCTCACTTATAAATGCGGAATTACCATCCAAATGAATTGAATGAGTCTTGTCGCAACTGAAAGTACCTTTGGTGGTTCCTCGTGAGGTCCCGAAAGGAAGAGGAGAGTCAACACAGCTCGCTTTGTCTGAATTCATTTCACAAAAATACTGTGGCCTCGAAGAGACGCTATTCTAGAGGACTGCACAATCAGGGACATAGATTGGAATGTGGGAAATAGGATCAAATTAATCCTACACCTCCATATATTATAAACCACTACCCATTCTCTCAGTTGAAGATAAAATCAGAGAACAGGATATTTGGATCCTGGGTTAAAAGAGAATAACGAGTCCGAAAAAATCAAGCTCATTGAGTTTCCTCATCCTGATAATTATTTGAAGGTTCAGTATTGCTGATGGATGGAGGCTCTCCTAACTCAAGTCTAAGCGCTGTACCATCCGGTGTCCTCAGAAAGTTTACTGGATTGCTGCCGTTTCATCCCAGACTCGAGCATTGTTGTCCATCATTATGCAGTATCTAGTTGGCAATGAGTATGTCTGGTTTGGGGCATACTGCTGGATTTGGTCTCAGTCCATCTGGTCTTTTAATTGAGAGGGTTTTGAGTCAGGGGAAATGATAACCATGTTCCTGTTGGAGTTCATTCTATAACTGAAGCCCTGTGTAGAATATGCTCGATAGAAAAAAGGGTAATTAAAAAAAAAAGGAAAGAAAGGGCCTGGGTCATATATCCTTGCGAGAGGCACCACTATTCCCCAGAAAATCCAAGTTGACCTTGAAGCAAAGAGAAGGCAATTTCGGACAAAACCATGGACGAGATTGACAGCCCAGGAAGCCACAAATATGCACGAAGCATGT